ATCCATGATAAATACAGATAAGGGAAGATATGTTTGACTTTTGTTAAGTGTTTCTAATATCGGCCCTTTTCATGAACGGCCTTATTTCAGCAATTTGCCCTTTCTGATATTCATAATAATGGCAATGCCCGCTTACCATTTCTGTCCAATCATAATTTTGAATCTCAAATCTGTACATTACTCTTACACTTCACTATAAGTATATCAATATGAGAGAAGTGTACGAACACATCCTATGTGATGACACAGTTCGCACTGTAGCTGTGGTAATGATACAGCTGTGCCTGTATATATAACACGTGGGCACCATTACAAAATTATAGTGCATAGTGGTGATTTACAGGACTAATCACAATTCTCGAGCACTGGCCGTTATTTCTGTTAATTATAATTAAATGTTAGTGTGGTTTAACTTTAGTTTGTACAGTTTCAGCTCGGATTTTATAGTTGAAATTGCAGTTTGACCGAGCTATCATGCATTTTACAAGCATTCAAAGTACGGCTGATCGCCATCATGCACGGATCCCACTCATTATCATAGAAAATATAGTGGCGGAATTGTAAATATTCTGCAGGCCTAAGTTCAGCAGGCCTAAGGCTAAAATGATCGAACACGAGTCAAGTGCCACACTTTTCATTCGAAATGGTTACTGGTACAAGTACACTGTACTGTAGGAGTAATTGATCGTGTGTGGACTGTAGTGTAACCACCTCGAAATTCTTTGTTCTTGCAGTTGGAATTTTGAAACTATTACACTTCCAGAAGGCCAACACAGAAATAGACTACATGAATGTCTGAATGATGAATTCAGGATTCTGCATGAAGAAAAAAGGCACGGCATGAATCGCATAAGAGGTCAATTATATCAGATATTTAAAACAGATCAAAAACTATATTTTAAACTTTAATTGAGCTTGAATGCATTAAAAAGTGCGTTTATTCGTTTTATAGTTTTATTACAGAACCAGAGTTTATTGAATTATAATTATATCATAAGACTTGAAATGGCCGAAACAATTTCGGTTTGTCAAAGAACAAAGGAAGTTAATGTAACTTAGCTACGTAATCACGCAACATTGAATAATATTGTTTACTATATTAAGTATAATAATTATACGAATAAGTCCAGCGAATTATTTATTACTTGTTAACGTTATTGTGGACTTATCAGATTTTCTGTAGGGCATTTATAGCGGCACTGTGCTGTTTAATTTTGTTCAGAACTTCGTAATGGTAGTTTGTTTAAATTATTATATAATTTTAATTGAGCTTAAATGCAACAAGAGCTACATAAAAAAGGTTTATACTGTATGAAACTTCGAAGAGTGGGTGAAATCCAATCGCGCCCTTCTTTGCTGATCTTTCAGTCCACCGAATTTGATATATTAAAGTCTAACCGTTTTAACAGTTATAGTATACATTTTTTCTTTAAACGCTCTGAAAAATTACATAAGCCTCATGTGGAGCGAGGAGTAAAAATATGATGCAACAGCTCAATGTAGCTAGCTTAACTTCATTTGAGTCTGAGGTGATGAGATTAGCTGCAAAAATAGATGATGACTGAAATTTGCCAGTTTTTTCTACAGATACACTGTTAAAACAAATATTTGAGAAAAGGAATTCAACTATGATCACTGTAACTTGTACGTGATAGCTGAAAGGAAACATTGGCACCAAGCACTCTCACTGCTGGATGACACGATTCATCACCAAAACGATGAATCTTATCATATAGGGGACCTATAATCGTAGAGGATTGCAGATGCCCCGGCAAATCACATTATTTAGAGTCCAGGTTGTGCCTCTGAGGTTGTTCCTCTGAGGTTGTACCTCTGAGGTTGTACCTCTGAGCCTGCTACTACTGTAGGAAGTACAAACTTAGGCTGAATAAAAAGCTTAGATACTTTTGATGTAACTTTAAGGTCTATACATACGAGAGTTAGGGTTAATTTTAAGTAAATTTGTTGATAAATATTCGTGTTTAATGTATGTGCACGATCAAATTTTATTAAACGATAAAGTGAGTTTGTTGATGTTATTTAGTGATTATGAGCGAATATATTGTACAGTGTGCGATATCAGATATATGCACTCATAATCACTAATAATAATCACTCACAATCATAAAATATGGGCGTGGCCTGTGCCAGTGTTTCCTGTTCGAGTTGAACTTGAAGCTCCAAAATTAGTTTGGTAGTTAATGGACCTTGGGAACAACAGATCACAGATAAGCCGGAGGTAGCAATAACTTAACAATATTTTGTTATTATGAACCTCCCTTTTGTATTTGTACAGTGTACAACTAGTTGTAATACCTTATCATTTTACCCTTTTAACAGTCATATTGTATTACTAGAGGCAGAGCTCTGAGTGTTGATTTTAACCGTATTCTTGACATTAGCTACCAGTACCTCATTTTTACCTTAAGGTCGATACTTGATTCCTAAACAGTAATAGATATTTGCTATATCATTCGTAGGACTTGCTTTATTCATGCGCCAAAAATGTCAGCCACGAAATGTATGAATGTTCCGTACTGTATTTTTAGGAAATCTCAAATCTCAAGTATACTCATTAGTTCAACTCCATGCGATAGAATGCCAGAATTGCTTCATACAATATATTTATAGAGTATATAAAGAGTATATAACATATAATATGTATCATATATAAAGCGTCATCGAGTATATTTTACTTAGCTGCATGTCATGTTTACGAAATAATGAAAAGCAGGGAAATCATAACTCCAATTGTAACTCCTCCATTTTGACACGTTACTTTTCAATTTCCTCTCTCACTATAAGCATTTTGTCGCTCGATCGAACTTATTTATACATTTTAGAATGATGTGAATCCTTTGTAACGTCAAGCTGTCTATATATACATCTGTATTATCAACTTTGTTGCACGAAATCCATGCACTTCGGATTTTCTACCTTGTATCGTATTTTATTTTTAATACGCCATCTCCCATTTTTAGTTCGATTTCAGGAAGCTTTGTTTTTACATTTATATGAATATCGAAATTCATACTATAAATGAAACAACTTTATTGAATAGAATAAGATAGCACCTTTAGTTAGTATAGCTAAATAGCGTATTCATTTTAGATTGAAAGGTTGGTTCAAAAGTCGGTTGAAAGAACTAAATTGCACAATACTGCATTCCGTCAATACAAACTGTGGATTCTCTTTGCTAACGTTTGTAAACTAAACAAGTATACAGATATGCTTGTTAAGTAATTATAATAGTGAATAGAGATAGAGAAAATCCGCAAATTGTAGTTTATTGACCAAATATCGCATCATTCAACCGTCCTTTCTACATCATTTTGTATCATCATTTCGATCGACCAATGAATATACATTACACGCGACTAAACTTGTATTGCTTAATTTTCCACATATTTTTATCCACATATTTGAAGTTCTGGCGATTTGCCAATCGTGATCAGCACAGCTACATCATAATCGGCAGTACATTATTTTGGAGTGATTATAATTCCATTAACACCTAACAAGTATTTTAGCTAATTAAGCTGACTAGGAAGTAAAAACCCGTTGCTATGTTTTGTTACCAAAACAATTATCGAGGGAGAAATCAGAAGTAAGAAAAATTTGGATACTAAATAAAAATGGAGGAGAACGAGGAGATGCAGATAACAAGTTTTTCCGGCGAGCCTATAGAACTAGACCTAAGTGAGTTAATAGATGTGGAACAATCTTGTAAATACACGACAATCTCCGAGGGTGAGAAAGAAAGTCCCCACACTGAAAGGCTATTGTACACAATAATGGAGGAAAGCGAGCTGAGGAGACCAGCAAGTTTGACGAATTTAAAACAGTGGGATAGTCTTGAATCCTGCGGATCAGAGAATAAACTTGGGGCCTCCACCATATTTCAAGAAATTATGTCACCAACAACCAGTGTAGAGTACGACGAGAGCGTCCTATGTCAACGAAGGTTATTTGATGTCACGGCGACAGATAGCGATACATTTGATATTGACATCACGGATATCTCACCGGAGGGGGAACTCCGAATGATCCCAAACATAACGGACGACGAGAAATATGTCGGAGGTATTTACAGCACATTTTGTTCGAGACAAAGGACCAAACACGTGGCAGTTCAATGTGATATCCTTAAAAACACGGAGTGTCAGAAGTGCACTCTTCTCGTGGATGAAATTTCTAGAATTTCGATACTCTTACAGAAGGCCAACGCAGAAATAGACTACTTGAATGATGAATTCAGAATTCTGAATGAAGAAAAAAAGCACGACAATCTTTGTGGTCAATATCAGACATTGGAAACAAATCCAACTCCGAAACGTGACAGTCAAAAGGTAGAACAACGAACTATTTATTGCTTCGCTAGGTGGATATTTCTGGGAGTATGGGGACTCCCACGAACGGTTTTTAAAAGATTTTTTCTGTGGGATAATTGAATAAAGAACTTGAAGTTAGACCACAATATTACATGTATAAAACCAGTACAGACGATAAACACGTGCGTGTTATGTGTATAAAATTTAACCCAGTTTCAGATGGGAAATATGGCAGTCGCCTACAAAGCGAGAAACTCGGCCGCGTTTATCCGTTTACTATTATAAACCTCTGTTGACTGTTCGAGATAGATATATAGTTCCTTATCCTTGTCGTTGCTTATGTAACTAGTAGTTGGGTAGTTCAATCAGTATCATAGTATCATGATGGTGGAATCGGATCACAATAATTAGATGAAGTCCGTTTACGGACACGTTCATTTGAGGATATTGGTAAATATTAGTAATCCTATCAAAAAGCAGTGTGGTCAACTTTGTCACACTATGAAACGAACGTGTCCTTACTCCTTAGGGGCCATCTACTTATAGCAGAGTTAGCATCCTTTAACTACGCCACACTATTCATAAGGAATATGATACTGGAATTGAACAGTAAACAAATTGCTTTATAATCGCTCAACATAAAGTGAGTGCCAGTTACCAATAAATAAATTGTATTGCTGAAGTAAGGAAATCAATTGAAATTAACATACAAGCTACAAAAATAGGCAGACCAGCTGCTTCAACACTTTTTATAGATCTAAACATTGGAAATTAATCAGAAATTAACTTAAGAATAATAAACAGCACCCAAATGGATTTTAGAATATTCGAGAATTGATTGATAATATTGTTTTTGAGTCTCTTAAATGCACAATTAAAGTCTGTTCTTTGTACAATATCTCATTCAGGCTAACTTGGATCTCACTACCTTTTATCGCATATCGTCGATATTGAACATACCCTGCAGAGATGAAAGAGGGTCAGAGGGTTTCGAAATAGCCGGCCCTAATGTAATTTTCACAAAATAACCGAATATTAAGACATGTGTGGATTGTTTCATATTCATCCTGGGCTCGTTTCAAGGTTAAAACCTTGGCTAGCCATGTGTAAATCGCTGCACAGCGGGACCCTTTGTTACGCCACTGGAGTACAGTCTAGAGATGACTGAATATTGCAGAAATATTTAACATTTCTCACCTTGGCTCGTTTCAATATTGAGTCTTTAGCGGGATCATAAGGGTGCTCTTTGGATGGTATTTCCAGGAGTGCCGGAATTGCGGCTGTGTGTGCCTCCATGATGTGTCTCACATCGTTCGCAATCTGAGGAATAAATAAATTATTATCTATGGAGAATCTGAGCAAAATTAATATTGAGCTGGGCTGGCTAAACAATGTATTGAAACCAAAACCTCAGCAAACTTTGACTGGAGCAGTCAATAAGGTGATTCGTAGATGGTACAATTATCTTGACGATTCCTACTTCTAACCTTAAAGACAATGGCATAACAAACGGCTCCACAGACCCCACTATATGTTAAATTCTCCCGGAGGACGGCAAAAAAAGTGTAGGGGCGGCAAAAAAGAAGCCTAACATTTTTTTAAAGTGTGACTGTCATGCCTTGAAAGCCTTCATTTCAGATATGGGTGCACAGCAACAATCCAGACGGTTCCGCAGGTTTAAAGGAATGGTCGTGCTAACAGTGCTGTCGATTACGGATTAGATATTGGCTTACCTGGGGACACGAAGCTTAAGTATAATTGATAAAAGGAATGAAGATATGACAGCTACTGCAGGCTGTGTTTTCTAGCTGATCTAATTCAAATTATATTATTTATTTAATTTAAATTACGTACGTACGTACGTACGTTACGTCGCGTACGCGCTGCGCGACCGGATATAAAAAACTTTGATCATAGAAAATGTTCAGAAACTAGCAATACAAGAAGCAGTTCCATCGTTGCTGCAGTACTCTGCGACCAATTATTGATGTGACTAAATAAAATATGAACAGAACAGGCCTACGAGACAGGAAGCGAGACAACTCCTTATATTCCTTCTAAGAGGAATCATGTAATGAATAATAATAGTAATCGAGTGCATATTAGTCATAATACCAAACCGATCCTTTCAGAAAATTACATTTACACTCATGTTGGAACGATGATGAATCACTCTACGTTAGTGATCACATGACTGCCTTAACACGAAAATATATGTGGCTCTGACGGCGAAGGCAAAACCCTAAAACTTTACTCTGACCCCGACACTAAACCTAACACAATCTCTAACCCAAACATTTGCCAAAACCATTACGCGCACGAGAAATGTGACCTACTTCCTTGGCCTTGTCTCTACCGCGCCCCCATCCCCCCCCCTCCCCCTCCCCCTTCTTCCCCCCTCTCACACACTCTTTCTCTCTTGGAGCAGGATCATCAGCCACAAACCTAAAACCGTTTCGAAGCTTTCAATCGCGATACGGCCTCCTTGTCAGGCACCAGCAGTCCAACAAATGGATCACCATCTGATCCGAGATCCACTTGAAGATACATGTTAGCACTTGCTCACTTGCAATTTGCGACAAGATATCGCCAAAATGGCTCCTCTAGAATGCTCTGTAAAATCACCCTATACCTTACTCCAACTACCACTCCAACAAGTAGCTTAGTAGTAACTTAGTAGCTACATCTAAGATAGTGCGCTCAGCGCTGCTTCCTTCCCACTCTCCCTCACCTGGTTCTTCAGCTCCCTTCCTCTAAAGTCAGTCCTCTTAGCAGCACACTCGAAATTATCAGCAATGATCTTCCTTGCTCCTTGTTGCTCCAATATCAACAGCCAACTTTGAAACTGAAGCAGGACCATCCTTTTGCCCGAATCTTTGCCTGTAGACTGTTGTAGAGGTCTAGTTTGTACTCATGAGATCCGTTTTTCAGAGGGTACTTTTAACTCCCACCACAACACTTTCTTAGCAGACCTTGAGAAAATAACCAGGTCTGGTCTAAGTTGTGTTTCCATCATTTCAATCGGAAACTTAAAAGCTTTCTTCGCAGATCAAATAAAATCACCCAATCTCGAACTCCACTTAGATTACCAAACCCACGACTCTCCTTCTCACTACCTCATCAAGTTACTCATTTATAAATATAATATAATGGGAAACAATAATTTTAGAAATTTTCGCAGAGACCTATCAACGAGGTATTGTCTAAATTTGTATTGCTGGGAGGTTCCACGGAGTTGCTAATTCTACCTTTTACGGTGTGCACACTTACTTAATCAGCTGATCAGCATTTAATATTAATGTGGATGTTGTTAATAATACATTTTCCTTTCTATTCGCTTGTTTGCTTTAGTAAATTTTCTGATCACCTAATTGCTCACAGTACAATAAATCAAACGTCACTGATCGACGCGAGGGTCGTGAGTCACCACAATTTATGATTGGAACTCACACTAAGATGACATAATATAATTTGCTGGAGCTGAATGAGCTTATACTCAAGTTCACAACACCTCACAACGCTCCAGAATTTTGTTATTCTAGCGGAAATTCCAGTTCCTCTGCTGAAATTATCCGGATAATTATTTGAAAAGAGCAGGAAGTTATAAACTAATATTCTTATCGAGGGCACCCTCGATTGGAAGTAGGCCCTGCACTGATAAGCTTTTGCCGGTTTACCCCGTCACTCCCCAGTCCCCGGCCCTGCGGTTAGTTTAAACGCATCTAGAAGTGTCCAACATGTTCTTATCAAAACGCATGGCCAAAATCAGTTTTTGGTAAATAACTGGGATAACTCCAAAATTAGGCATTCTTTGGCATATTATGTTGGTTCATAAGTTGTAAGTAAATGTGACCATTGTGGTTAACTTGAGCCTTATTTTGTGGGCCCAAAGCAATTAGGACTGACCAATATGAACCAATTTTTGGTGGGTAAAATTGAATTAATAGTTCGATGAATGAGCAACGATCTATCGAGGATATCATGTTTCATTTTCTATTATCACAAATCACTCAATCTTAAATTTTGTGCGAAAACATTTTTTATTGTTGCTGTGCCAGTACTGCTATTTTCTATTGTTGCTGTGCCAGTACTGCTATTTTCTATTGTTGCTGTGCCAGTACTGCTATTTTCTATTGTTGCTGTGCCAGTACTGCTATTTTCTATTGTTGCTGTGCCAGTACTGCTATTCGGATGGTTTTGCACCACTTGCGTGGTTATAACCTAAAATATTTCCAACAACAACATGTCTATTAATATGAAGATGCCACGGAGCTGCGCTAACAGTTTACAAATTACACGATAGTATTGCTGCTGCACTAGATATCAGAATGATCATCAAATACCCTGATGTATCTTTGTATGAGTTTGCTAAGGTTATGCAACAAACCATAAACCATTTGTGCAAGTTACCAAAGTTTTGAGTGCCACAGATAATTCACGAATAACGGAGGAGGGGGGGGGGGGTTGCAACGACCATTAATGACCATTAATGACCATTAATGACCATTAATGACCATTAATGACCATTAATGACCATTAATGACAATGTCAGTTTTGTCAAAATTTCATCTACTGACATTAATGGTCATGTTTTTTCTGGCACTTCTTAGAGCGAAAAGGACGGACGCCTGCATCACTTAGACCCTACCTTAAGTTAACTAACTACAAGTATATGTTATTATTTTACATTTACAATTAGAGATTCGAAAGAGAAAACTTAGAATAGAATCTTCCGTGGTTAGGCAGACCTTCCAGAATATCACTTGAGTGGATTCCAGAGTGAGTTAGGGATTACATTTATTCAGTTCGAATGTAATGAAGAACAAATTTTGCGGCCACGGGATTTAAACCAGATAACAGTTGGTGACTTATCAATAATAATAATTCAAAGGGCAATTTAGGAGTATCAGATCGTATCAATAGTAAAATAACAATCAATAATAAAATAATAATAACACGGGTATTAAAATTAAATACTTCGTTCCCGTTCTTATATCATATCAAGATTTATATTTTAGCCAAATCATTATGCTAGTCGATTATATAGTAATTATACAGTAGATGAACTTATTCAACTTTAGCACTTCATGAAATACATCGTCATCAGTCTGAATCGGACAACAAAAAAGCTGATCTTTTCCTAGGATTAGATAGAACAATTCGTTTACAGTTCAATACTCTGCCTTCGGCAGTTTTGACCCAAAATCGAGCACTGTCATCATGATAGGGACAAATTGATGCGGCAGGAATTCGTCTAGATCTGCAGTTGCCCTTTTTTGAAGCAGAGACACTCATTGATAAGATGGTACCGAGGCAACGAAGGGGACGTTTAGCCTTTTTTGGAACAAAGGTAGAACTTAATGAGTCGCCCTTTCGAATTGTTCGACGTTGACAGGGCTTAGAAGAATTTTTGCAGCCCGGTTGGTATGGCACAGAACCCTCGAAACAGCCGGTACCAAAAAATTTCGATCTCCGAATATTAATTCGTTTTCTCAAACGAGACTCTGGCAATCTATGTAGGGGGCTGTGAGAAACTTTATAGAAATGATACAAAGTGATCATAATTGTAAATTTCTTGGACATGTTGCTTCCAAGATAGTTCAGAATTTCAATTATTTAATGACCATTAATGACCATTCATGACAATTAATGACCATTAATGACCATTAATGACAATGTCAGTTTTGACAAAATTCCATCTACTGACATTAATGGTCGTTGCAACCCCCCCCCCCCCCCCCCCCCCCGGAGGAGAAATTTAAATAATATAATTCTCAAACTTACGTGCTGGTTAATAAGAACAATTCCGATGTCTTTTCTAGCGAGTAGTCTCTTCAAATGGGACTCTATGTCTCCAATAGTAGTATCTAGAAAATATTGATTTGTCAGATAAATGTCTAACATGATAACTCGGAATTTAAATAGTTAGTATAGCCTTAGATGCATTTGGTATGCACACATAATATATAACCGAACACGAAAACCAATAACCGAAGTGCAATGCCAGACGGGATATTAATGAAAAGTCAGTATTCAGTACTTGGTATCGTATAGTAGCATCTATTTCGTTGTATTTATCAATTAATATCAAATGTAGATGCCCGGTAAAGCTAAGTCACGAAAAATTGTTCAAGCTAATTCTAAGTTTCTAAGTATTCGTAATACTATACGAAGTATTTGTAAGAATTTTCTTCGGTACAAATATTTCCTTATCGTTATAAGTTGATTTGGCAGCCCTCCACAAACACACCAGTCATTGCCAAAATATTTGTATCACGAATTTCAAGTCATTTCATTGGACGGAGTGCGATCAAAATATCCCACAAGTCGTGAGTTAGACCTTCGACTTAGAAGATAAAGAGACAGTAAAGTAATCTGATACAACCCACGAGGGATATTGCTGATAAGGGAGGGGATAAGGATTATCATATTCACATGATGATATCCAACATTTGTTTTGTTTCAGCTGGATGGGTTTGTTTGGGTTTAAGGATAGCTTTACTGCTTTACGTTTGTACAACTATATGGTTAAGTCGTGTAGTGTTATTGAGTCTCATAGTCTCATTTGATGATTCTTTCAAGAAAATTTCTGATTTTTTTCTGAATAGACTCAGTGATGATAATGTTCTAATGAATTTGAATAGATAAATCACGTATTCTACGTCATAGATTAATCAACATAAATCAACATTTCTACGTCACAGATTGTACGTCATAGATTGTACGTCATAGATTGTACGTCATAGATTGTACGTCATAGATTGTACGTCATATATTGTACGTCATAGATTGTACGTCATAGATTGTACAATAAGCAGGAACTTACACTACCGAGTATTATTTACCCAGCCCAGCCCCCAGGGGACCTGCCCGGATGTTGTATTAATAACACTGTGGGTTAGTAGCTACAGTATTTCCAGCAGCACTAACATATTCTAGTAGTTGCATCTGATTCTTTGTGTTGAGTTTACTTACCGTTAGTTTGGCACAGTAACATCTAAATATTTGACCAGCAATGATAACCCGGATTGGCAAAGTCCCTGTCTTATTCCTACTACTACTGGAGTTGGTTACAGCACTGAAACAACCCAACATCGTCCTGATGCTAGCAGATGACCTGGGTTGGGGTGATGTCCCCTGGCACGACGCTCCAACAATAGCTCCAACTCTACTGGACCTAGCTAAATCAGGGACTGTATTTGACAGATACTACGTGCAGCCCATATGTACCCCAACTAGAGGAGCTCTGATGACAGGTAAATACCCCTCCAGACTGGGACTACAACATGGTGTTATAGGTCCTGACACGCCCTACGGACTACCTCTTAACGAAACTACACTCCTACCCTCCTACATGAGGAAGCTAGGTTACTCTACCCACGGTGTAGGAAAGTGGCATCTAGGACACTGCTCCTGGGGCCACACTCCAGTAAAACGGGGGTTTGATTCTTTTTACGGGTACTTCAATGGAGCTACTGATTATTACACAAAGGAGATGGGTTCCTTTAACGGAGAGAGCGGGTTTGATTTCAGACACAACACCGTGAAGAGTGATGGGAGTGTAGATGATGAGGTGTTGTGGAGCACTAACACTACATACTCCTCATACCTCTACACTCAGCAAGCTAAGAAGGTTATATCTGATCATGATAAGAGTAAACCTCTGTTCCTCTACCTGCCCATGCAAAACCCTCATTTCCCTGCTGAGGTGCCTTCACAGTACTACGACATGTATGAAGGTGTAGTGAAGGATGAGACAAGGAGGACGCTCCTGGCTATGGTGTCTGCTCTGGATGACACTGTCAAGGCAGTGGTTGATACTCTGAAGGATACGGGGCTGTGGGAGAACACTGTGTTTATCTTCTTTGCGGATAACGGTGGAATGTTGGGTAGATTCTCCATTGGTCAGATCAATTACCCGCTACGTGGAGGTAAAGCCACATACTGGGAGGGAGGGATCAGGTCAGCTTCCTTTATCAACTCTCCTCTTCTAAAAGGAGGAGATGTTAACAGCGAACTAATGCACGTTACAGACTGGCTACCTACTATCACTCACATCGGGGCGTGTGGTGTGGAGAGCTCCAACTGTACTGGACCCACATTTGAGGGTATAGACGGTGTGAACCAGTGGAGGGCAATAGTTGGGGAGAGTAAGACTGAGAGGAGTGAGTTCCTGGTCAACTACGATCAGACTGACAATAATGCAGCTATCAGGATGGGTAAATGGAAGCTGTTACAAGGACACCAACTGCCTGGTCCCTGGGTCCCTCCACCTAACATAAACTACAAACAGTATAAAGAACACATGGCTAAAGCTGTGGGGGACCCCTGGGAGTTGGAGTATGGCAGGGAGATGAGTAGGGGGTCTAAATTGAGGACTCATCTTAAAGACAGGATACAATTGTACGATGTGGAGTCTGATCCGTACGAGAGAAATGAAGTGTCAAAGGATAATCCAGAGGTTGTTAAAATGATGTTGGAAAGACTACAGATACACAAGGATAAGGCGGTGGAACCAGGGAACAAAGACTCAGATCCAAGAGGTAACCCAAATTATTTTGGGGGTGTTTGGACACCCTGGTTAGAAACTTGCTGAGCTGGAAACTTGCTGAATTGAAGTAACTTGCTGAGTTGAGAAAACTTGCTAGTTGAGAAAACGAATTTTTTAGATGAAGCAAATAACTGACATTTTTAAGATGCAAAAGAGTTAAATACCGAACTATTTTTATTTTTGCTATAACATTAACATAGTATTTAAATATTCCCAAAAATTGTGTTTTCTTTGTTCGAAAAGAATAATTTGAAAAAAAAAATTCCCCAATCCTTCAACTTGTTGTCATAACATTATGGAATTATTAAACTGTCATAGCATAAATATAATGTTGAATATGTATATTGTATAAATGCATACAATTATACAAGCTTGAATGAAGACTTTTAAATGTATAAAACTACTACCTCATCGTTTTATCTTACAGTTTAAATGCTTTATACATCTCCTCAATTAAATGATTGTAGTTCAGTTTAGGGATTTCATTATAAATTATTCAAATGAAGACTTTCCCAATAATTGTGCCTGATTCGGTTTCCGGTTTTAAAAAGACACATTAGTCACTTTGCATCATTTGCCTTCGTTTGCTGCTTTGCAAGTTTGTGAGTTGTGAATGCCAGTAACTGTGGAACAGAAAAAGGATGTAGCATTGACGTGGTAGCACATTGGTAACCCTGGTAACAGATTGGTAACACATTGGTAACCCTGGTAACACATTGGTAACTCAAGTAAACCTGGCTTTAGTGAGTAAAGAGAGACTACAGTACAAGTTAACATGTCAGATGACAAGGTACCAGACTACGGAGCAACAGCAGAGGAGACAGCTGAAGGAGAGCAGCAGGAGGAGGAGGAGTGGGAGCTGAACATGGTCATAGAGACTATAGGTCTGTAACTAAAAAGGGCTACCTTCTCATTTGCCTCCTCATGTATATCCTCAGAAACGTAATAGATTCTGAGAATGCTCGATTACCAGCTGCTTACTCTCAAAGTCTCAAGTTGTAAAACTATTTTCGCTCATCGCTTTATTAGACTTATCGTTTAACTGATATATTTAGTTTGCACCTATAGAATTGACATTCTACTTTTCCGTAGGTGTGGGTCCAGCACAGTACATATTCTGGACTATCAGTTTCCTGATAGCATATTCTGATTACGCCGAGCTAACCCTTATTGCTATTATCATTCCTTATCTGAGATGCGAGTGGAATCTGTCTAAAGAATTTGAGGCTACTATTACCATCTCCATATTTCTCATCTACGCAGCAAGTAAGCTTCCTGGTTCATTAAAAATACAGTACATTGTACATTGTAAAGTGTCATGTACACGTTTATACATTGTACAGTGTCATGTACACGTTTATACATTCTTTACAGTGGTTTAAACTTGCATAAATTACGTATTTATAATGATCAGGTTATTTACTATTAATTAAGTTAATGGTGAAGTATTAATTAAGTTAATGGTGAAGTATTAATACCACCTGTCTCAGGCGCTCTACTATGTGGCAAACTCTCTGACATATACGGCAGAAGACGTGTCATGTCAATAACAACAGTAATCCTGATAGCAGCTGGTATTGGAGCTGCAACTGCTACTAACCAGTATATATTCCTGTTCTGGAGAGGCCTAGCTGGAGCCTGTATTGGAGCTAACTTCGCTACTGTGGTAGTGTACTCCACTGAGTTCTCACCCAACAAGTACAGAACAGTGGGTCCCCTCATCTCCATCCTGGGAAGCTACATGTCCATGTTCGCTGTCAACCTCATCGGGTATTTCTTCCTTAACTCTCTAGGCTGGAGATGGCTGATAATCATCATAACAATACCGGTAGTACCGGCTATGATATTACTGATAGTAATGCCGGAGAGTCCCAGGTACCTGTGTGTCAGTGGCCAGTCAGAGCGGGCAGTGGAGGCTCTGAAGATTATGGCTAAGATAAACAGAGTTCAACTACCGGACAATCTGAAGGTAGTGTGTCACCAAGGTGCTGAGCTGGGCTCCTTTAAGAAGGTGCTAGGTTCTGAGATACACAGGAAACCGGCACTTCTCCTCAGCGCCATGTACTTTGCTAATATCTTCATTGAGACTGGGATCCTGGTGTTCCTCCCCCTTGCTTTTATCTCCAACTTCTGTGGACACAACGGCACACCTCCTGTCCGGAACAGGTGTCTGCCGCTGTCTCAGGACGACCTGTGGAAACTGAGTGTCTCTGCTGTAGGTTCCCTGGTGGGGTGTGTCACTGCTTACTTTGTAGCCCTCAGTTTTGGGAGACTGAAACCACTGAGGGCGGGAAATGTGGTGCAGATATTTGTGTTCTCTCTCATGTTCATCTGTGTTAACAACCTCTACCTCTTTGGTATAGCATCAGCTGTGAAGATCATCAACGCGTTTGTGTGTATGATGATCTGGTTAATTGTTCCGGAGAGTTTCCCCGACCATGATACGGAACACTGCCACGGGAATTATCAACTCGTCCGGGAAACTGGGAGCTGTAACGGGAACTGCCATGGTTTACCTGCTGTTCTACGCTTCACCCTTTGCTGTTATCTGCTGCTTTATTTTTGTTGCAGCCGTGTCTTGTGGGTGTTCCTTTGCGTTTGATAAGGAAACTAATGACGCTCTTTTGACTGAGACTTAGTGTTTAGAGACAGTATAAGTAGAGACTCCGCCTCTAACACTTTGAGATACAAATGTTTATAAGTACAACAGTTTGTTACGTGAGACTAGAAACTGTTGCGAAAATGATAACCAGAGGGACAAATGAGTAGTAATCAAATAGAACTGAGACGGCAGACAAGTTAAGTTTGCAAAGTAAGTAACCAATAAGTAACCAATATGTCGAGTATAGGATTGTTCTATTAACACTATATTATATCCCCTTTAAGAGAGAAACATTATAGACGTAGCTTTCAGATTGAATTGTTCCTAGCTTAGGGATGACAAGAAGCATGTTATTCCCTTGATATTGAAAAGTTGGAACTTCATTTATCCTATGTCAACGATTTGAAATCGAGCTAGTTTTAAAGATTCTCTTCATTTAGAATTTAAGGATGCAGTTCTAATTTCTAACAAATTATGAACTTGAAAAATGAAATACTGCACACGGTGATATTCTATAATTGTAGTACGTTATATTAATTCTCCAATCTTACTCACAAATCACATCTAACCAGATCTACACTGTAATGCAGCAAAAATAAAAACCAACCTTTCTTCACAACAAGGAAATTAGGTTCTCGCTTGTCGTTCAGTTCCCCAATACCTCCCAGTAGGAATGCAGTGCACGTGTCCTCGTCCCCTACTAGACCCATCAGATGGGACTTTGCCATCGTTACCTTCGTCATAATGCCTTGTTCCTGTTATGAGGTAGCAATGTTACATTTTAGGTGGTACCAGCAAGTTGTTTTAAGGTTAAGAATATTGAAATGCCTTGACGTATCAGTGCTCAACTATCATCAGCATTCTAATGTACTATCATGTTACCCAACTAATTAAAATATTAGGATTATTTTAAATCAAGAAGCAATTCAAATATTATTATAAATTACATACGTAATATATTATATGGAAAAATATCATATTATACAATATACACAACATAATTTAAACATTCAAAATAAAAGCATCATTTTAAGTGTCATTGTTATCAACTGAAACAAACTCGATGAAATTAAAAGTTCAAAAATATATTTCAAGTCATTGAAAAAACTTGTTAGCATGAGTTTTTAAGTGTTTGGTGTAGTTACCCTTGTAAGCTGAAGCGAACTTACACTCATCACATTTAAAAGGTTTGTCCTCCGCATGCATTCGCTGATGTTTCGTCAACAACGACCTCTGAGGAGCAGCAAAAGAACATTCTGGACATTTAAACGGCTTCTCCCCGGAGTGACTCCTCTGATGTATTACCATTTTAGATTGACAAGTAGCTGAGTAAGAACAGTCCGAACACTGAAATGGTCTCACCGGTTTCTTCCCCGCATGAGCTCTCAGATGAACATTCATGGTAGCTTTATGAGCTGACTGAAACGTACATTCTGTACACTTAAATGGTTTTTCTCCGGTATGAATCCTGTTGTGAGTCACCAGATAAGATCTATCAGTAGCCACGTACGGACACAGCGGACACCTGTACACGTCTCCAGAGTGCAGTCTCAGATGTCTGTTGAGGTGAGACTTCTGGGCTGCTGTAAAGGAACACTGTGTACATCTGAAGGCTTTACTGCTGCTGTGACCGCGCTCGTGAGTGGAGAGTTTCGATTTTATGTTCGCGGAAAACGGGCAAACTGAACATTGGTATTTGTTGGGATCTTTTCGTTTCGCTGAATTTGAAGTGATAAGACTGATGTTGATAAGCGACTTTGTAGGTTCAGGTGTAATATATGACGCGGTATTTGACACACTAGTCTCATCATTGTCAACTGTACCCATAGTGTTAACAGATACCTTATCTGTATCCAGGGTTACCTCGGACCTTTCTCTCGTCTCCTGTCGACCTATTAGTTGCAGCAGTTCTGTTTTTAGTTCCGTTCTTACGTGATCATCTGATTCACGGGTGGTGTGAAATGTTCCTTCACTCTTTAGTTCAATATCTGAAGTTGCTGCCATCAACAGGTTGTTCGGTGTGTTATTACATGATAGTGTGAGTTGAAGATTAGTTGAGATAAGAGTTTGCAGAGGCTCAAGATAGTGGTTTTCTTTGTTTTTGAAGTGACATGAATCTCTTCAAACCATCACCTATCGGATTACACATACTCACATAGCATAATATGTATAGAATAAAAGAAAGGCCCGGAATCAGATGTCATCATAATATGACATATTATATATCTGTCTTAAAGCCTCTAAATTATAGAATAAAACCACGTTCTCTGAAAGTTTATAAAAATTAAAACAAGAATTAATACAAATAAAATAGGTAATAAATATCCCAGTTGCCAACACAAAATCGATCGACAGAAATGCCATAATTACCTTCAAGGAACCTAAAATATAGCATAACATTTGGTTATTATTTAAAAAACATTTTAAAAAGCTGCGTAAAATGATCTAAAAGTTATAATCCAGGTCCTATACAGTAAACAATACAGAATACTGCCAGTCTAAATAGAGAAGTCCCGCAACTCCCGACACAAAATGTCCTCAATACCGTCATATTAAAAAGGGCTAATACAAGGAGCTGTTTTTAAGGAGTTGTTTTTAAGGAGCTATTTTAAGGAGCTGGCTAACTCCTATTGTGTCTGTTGCCCTCCCCTCTTCTATGAGTATCTTTCCACTCATCCCAGGCCCTAGCTTTACCTAAGGATTCCTCCGTTTCCTCATCTGGATCTTCAGGTTCCACAGGTCTGTTAGGGTGATGAGTGGGTTAATTAAGCTAATTAATTAATTGTAGTTAATCAGTGGACAATGAACTAATTACTTGAACTGTAAATTAAAGACGATTCTAAAATGCTAGACAGAGGTTGAAACAAAACAATGTTACACGAATACAAATATAAAGATAATACAAATCCTGGTTTGATAGCATACTCCAAATGGCTGCTCAGTATAATTGCGGCTCTTACTTGGGTTCATTTAGCTGGCGTTCAGCTTCTGCAGCCATCCTCACCATCTCCTCATCGTAAAACTCGTCTAATGTCATGGTAGGTAAGGAGGGATAACCTGCCCCGAATACTCGCTTCTGTAGTTCTGATTTTACCAGGATAAAGGGCTTCATTACCTGGACCAGATTTAGTGTTATCATAAATTTATTATATAATATATACATATTAGTGGCATCCCTCTACAGGGTGAACGATAAAACAGCTATAATACACAATAATTTCATGGTACAATATGTCAACGATAATATGAATTATACACAATGACACAATTCGATTATATAATACTCTTGAAATAACACTGATAATATACCATCATTTAATATTCGAGTTATATTCAGATTTATAAATGAGCAATGTAACCTTAGGTTTAATAATAGGTCTCTGCTTGACTAGGCCGCCTCTCAGTTTCTCCATGTGTTCTAACATTGGTAGCTCACTGTTGATATTGTACAGTTCTCTTCACACTTCATTACCCACAGTTTTACGAGAGATAGGTAGATTTCTCGCTGAACCTGAGGGGAGATATTATCAATACTTGGGTACCATCAGCCTAACACTTATAATTTAGAAATCCCTGTCTGTATGGCGCAAGCATGCAGAAAGCAATTTAACCCAGTATGTACGTCATAAAACTTTGTGTGAGCTTAAGAACTCTACGATCTGAAGATGTTTTCCTCTCACACTCTTGACGATGATGCTTTAAAACATCTAGATTATACAATATAATTCTTTTTTTAATTTGTAAGTTCTAAATTGTGAAACTTACTTCTTCCTCTACGTGGGTTCTGTTCTCCATTTCCTCTAATAAAGTCTCTAACCTCTTCTTATCCTGATACTTTTGTATCTTTTCCATCCTGTTAGATTCCTGCACTGGATTAGTCATCCTGTTTGCGTCAAAATTTGTTTTCTGTGGATAAAGACAAAAATAACATGATGTTGGAAAGGTCTTGTGTTTTCTGTAAAAGTTAAACGTGATGTTAGAAAGGTCTTTTCATGTTTACATAAGTTCAGAAATAACTAAACTAGGCACACCAAAAGAGGATGCGTTTTATTTGAAATATAAATATTCAACTAAATATCCAGTCACGACACACGTAAACAATATAAAACCTCAGCAAGACCGTACAGTTGGCACAGGTGGTGAAAGTCCTTGAAATACTCTTTAGCGGCTAGCACGTGAGCTTTACGGTTCTCAAAGTCGTAGTGCTGCTGGTGCACAAACCCTTGGAATGCGTTTACCAGCATGAACCTAAAGTTTTAAACTGGTTTAATTGCAAGTCAGCAAACTCAAATATTTGGTTCCGTCTTTATTTTAACCTACGTATATAATCGTAACAATATCAATATCATCATATATATTATTGTGAGATAGATCAAAGTTAGGCGGAATTAATAATAACAATTTATAAGTCTTACTTGATAGTTTCTGTTGAGACATCGTCTATTGTTTCATTGTTAGAGAAGAGATGGAGCGTAGCTACAAGGACAGACAATCTCTCCAAGGATATTGTCGTGTCTATAATCAAACCCTGCAGACAGTGGGGTAAGGGTTTCTGGCACGATTCAAGTTTAACTGTGCTGCACTTTTAGTCCCCGTTCTCAAATAAAAGTTAAACTTAAATGAAAATAATAAATTAAACAACTATCTAATAAATCATTCAAATAAAAACTTCAGCATTATATTAGAAAATGTTTACACTTCACCTTATATTCCTGTGAAATTCTGGCATCATGATTCTCAATCAGCTGAATATTCTTCCGAACATCGGTCAGCAATTCTCCGAGTGATTGTTCATCAGTTGCTTTGTTGCCGACAGTTGCTAAACTCATTCCACAAAATATCTCATATAATACAAGGTGTCATGTTCTACCTTTGGAAGTATTTCGTTATCTTATCCTGGGCGTTATTGAAATTTCAAGATGCCTTAGTAGTTAGTAAATGCTATCACATAAGGATCTAGATGCGTTATTTTTCCAAGTTCCATTTCGTGAAATACTTTATTTATGCAACAATTAACAATTATTTACAAATCAGAAGTGAATTGTACGAAAATTGAGGCAGAGCATAGGAATGCATAAAACGTCCTAGTAGTACGCTAACACGCTAGTAATAACTACACCACCTTTCTCAAAGAGCGAATAAATAAATTGTACTTTCAACAATGTCTCCAGAATCCAGGTTTGATTTTATTATCATTATGTTATGGTCAAGTTCGGAGACAACCTGTACATTTTTTACTTTTTTAGAAGTGTGTGGTGGAGCCAGCTCAACACAGACTGAAACTCCCTGATTATATGGCTGACAAGACATTTTTCAGGACTTTCTCTGAGTAAAAAAAAAAATTAAAAGGTTGAACGGTTGAGCAGATACAGGTGGTTTAAAACAAACCCTTAAAAGGTGGAGATTTAAGGTGGAGACTGGCTCTGGTTGAAGAAACTTTTGATTAAGGTGGAAAAGGTTATTGGTAACATAAACTAGTACATCAAATTTGCAATCTGATGGTTTCATCAATATTTTATTTAAGTGCTCAACCGAGGTGGAGAAATTAAATGCACTTTTCAAAGCTGCTCAACCGGGGGTGGAGAAAGGTTTAGAGAGTTCTAGGTTAGCTAGAAAGTTGCGTCTCGGCCTTTTCTACTTCCAGTTAAATTTTGTTTTTTCCATTGACGCTCAACAGGGTGGAGATCTTTCATTAAGAAACAGTAAAAAGCCTGTCAAACATGCCTAAATTCATTGGTTTTATCACTAATTCTTATCTGCTCTGTTAACTGCTACTGTAGGGTCCCGATCATAAAACTGTTACCCCTTCTGTCTTAAAGCAAAGTGTTCTAGCAAATGAAAAAACTATCAAAGTTGTGAAAAGGTGCTCAACAAGGTGGAGAAATTGTTGATTAAACATTAAAACATTAAAAAATGCATTAAAACTGGCCCCACCGGGTTGAGTTGAGCTTTGGCAGTTGATTTCTGGAAGAAATAACATTGGGTGACCCTTCAGCATGTATACAACTCATCAAACTAGCCATCAACCACTCAACCGCGGTGGAGAACCTTGACTTCTGAGGTCAAATTTACGCCCAAATTTGCCAAATTTGAGTCTCCACCTATGTTGAGTGTACCTTTCAGCAAGGATGCCTTGTAATATGAGTTGGTAGATGATTTAGAATCATTGGTATTGCAAATGGACTGCCACAGTCACTCTACAGCTCCTAAACTACAGAATAACAGATTTTGAACTGCATGTTATGCTGTCTCCACCTCGGTTGAGCCGATTCTGAGGATCCTATTCTATGAAATATGATTGGTATAACCCATAATATTAAATATTAGGACTTTGGAGCAATTAAAAAGCATGAGAGGGTTAGTTCTAGTCACTTATATTAGCTCATGTAGTCAGTGAGCTGCACCACCTGTGTTGAGCAGACAAACCTGCTCAGTGCTCAACCGGCACTTTTTGAGTACCCACCTGTCTTACGTAACTTTAAATTGTGAAATTTGAAGTAAATATTTTTTTCATAAGTGATTTACAGCTCCTTTATTTTTGTAATTTTCAGGTGGCCACTGTCTCCACCAAGGTTGAGTTATTTAAATTTTGAACCCAGATATCATTATAGAAAGGTTAGGAGTAAAATATCTGAAGAGCCTGTACCCCTTGGACTGTCAGAGGAATTATAATTAATTTTACCGTTTATGGCAGTGAAATGAGTGTAATTAGTGACTGATTTTATGTACAGGTTGTCTCCGAACTTGACCTTATAGATAAAAAAGAGTGTAATAATTTAGATTTAAAAGAATTACTTTAAAAATCAAACTGCTGTCGTAAGAAATTTAATTAAAACTGTGACAATAAGTTAATTCTTAAGCTAAACCCCTAATTAAAAAAGAACCGGTGAGCAATTGTGGAAAACTATTACACTGATTTCAATTTTTTAGATTTACTCTTTTTAAACTTGTCACTTGTTTTCGTCTTAGTTTTCTTCGAAGATTTGGTTTCTTCATCAGATAGTGAACTATTACTACGCTTTTTTTTGTTCTTCTTTTTATTCTTCTTTTTATGTTCCATAATAACACTCATCACATTATCAGCATCCATGAACTCAGAGTCAGCGCCACCAATCATTCCCTCAGCTTCCATTTCCTCATCACTTTCAGCCACGTCAAGGTCTTCCCATTCATCTTCCTGAGCTCCTTCTGCAACATTTGAACCAACTTTTTCCTCACCCCCTTCTTCGTCAGATCCTTGGATACTTTCCCCGTCAGAATTTAGATTCTCCCAAAGGAACTTTTCGTAAGCCTTGTCGTTGACTTGGACAGTTCCACCGTCCTCATCATCATCAATATCTCCGTAGCTGAAATCAGATCCTGAATCTGACTCATCACCGTCATCCTCATCATCACCCTCTGATTTCTTTTTCTTCTTGTCTTCTTTAGTAGTGGATGTTGAAGCAAACTTGATATCATCAGCGAAGTCCAGAGCATCAGTTTCAGTTGCAGTATCTTCCTTTTCATCCGTATCCTCAACCTTAGCACTGATCTTCTGAGCTTTGAAGTATTCGAAGAAAAACCTTTCATCAGCACTTACCTTGCTGGCTTTTTGTTCTTTGAACTCTGACGAATACACTTGAGGCTGATTAGAATCGACCTGGTTTCTGGAGTAAAATTTCTTGTTAGACGCTTTAACTCCACTCTTAGGATTTTTGAATACAAATTTGTCGAGAAACTTGATCCTGGTAAAATCGTTAAACGGATCTCCACTGTATGATACTTCTCCGTCAACGAGAAGGGAGGAAACAAACTCGTTAACAGAAGGATGAAAGTTCCTTGACAACAGACTGAACTCCCACAAGTCTTGTCTATCTGCGTTGGAATACAGTGGATTTCTTATTGCTGCACTGTAGGAGTCTGACTTTGGAGGTTTACTTTCAGATTGTTCCAGGTCACTGTCCTTGGGGTTTTTGTCGGTGGGTTCGATGTTACTCGTAGAATTCTTATTTGCCTCGGATATTGTGTACAAAGATGCACATGCAAGAAAGGGTTCATCAAGATTGGAAACTTGCAATAATCTTCGGGAAATAGCCACTTTCCTGGCAACTGATGAGTCTCGTTTTAGTGACTTGTAAATGAGGTTGAGAAGGAATGATTTCTTTGACGATGTGCTGATCGAGGAATCTACCAGCTTTGCGTACAGGGCCTGAAACGGAAATTTGGTTTAACTTACTAACTTATAGTTTAAAATTCTAAGTCCTAAATTTAAAAAAATTAAACAATGCAAGACTTGCTAAAATATAAACTTCAGTAGGCAAACCTGGTAATATCTGTTGCAAATGTCTGATTTGCTACCCGAGACCTGATACAACAGCATGAGCGCCTGGATAGACACGTTGAAGTTATCACTATACACCAACTTGAACAAGGTATCAACGTTATCTCCAGTGATGGCGTCTTGTGAGGCAGTATAAGGGTAGGCTCTGTTAACACCAGTGAGAAGCCCACCCAACATTCTAGTATCCACATTTGTGTTGTCTATTGACTCTTTGAAGAACTTGAAATAGATCTCGATAAGATGAGCAGCAAATGCACTGTCCTCAGGTGTTAGCTGCAGCTGATTGAGAAAACATATGGAGTAGTATTGAGCTTTTTCTGCTATGTTAGGTCGAAATAATACTCGCTCTACTTCTGAGGCAACTACCTTTTTCATACTTGGGTGATTTTGAAGAAGCTTGGTGAGAATGTAAATTATTTTAGAGGCTAATTTATTGTCCGGGTCACCAATTTTGTTTACAAGAATTGCCAACAATTCCTGTTCTTTTTCAGGCTTTTCGTTTAGCATATGAGAAACCAAATTACAGAGTTTAGTCCTAATAGCCACTTCGTTATCATTCAAGTGGGTTTTGATGACATCCAAATATTCTGAATAACAAGACTTTAATTTGTCTTCAACTAGCCATCCTAAGACAGTCACATTGATTGTCTCTCCTGTCAGAGCTGAGAAATCATGCTGTTCAAATGTGAACAACTTTCTGTTTTCTGGTAGGATAGTACTAAGGAACATTTCTTTCAGGGTGTCGATAGACTGGATGGCCATTCTCTTACTTTTCTTCTTTGCCATTCCCAACAAAGCGTCCAAAGATTTGATATGATGAACAGGAGATTCTTGAAGTAATAGGCAGTGGGCAGATACCTGATAGATTGCAAACGTTAGAGATATGCTAACTGATCATATATACTTGATGTCAACAAGCTAAATTAGAATCACAGCTGCAATTCTTGTCCAACTGTCAGACACGATCTTAAGCAGTCACAAAATTTATGAAACTTGCATAAAACTTCAAGAATCGAATACAAATCGAATACAATACAATATATTAAAAATTTTGAAGTGTCTTTACTTTGTCATTTATTGTACCACTTGTGAAAATCGTTTGCATCCACTGTTGATCTGATGCCTGATGCTTATCTCTTAGCTCTGAGCTGAGCTCAACCTGAAATTTTGCTTTAATATTTACATTCATCCCATAAATACTCCATTACATCACATGTACATAATATCAGAATGAAGTATGAATTTCAATGTCCAATTTTAAATTTCGATTTAAACAGAAATATTGTAATTCATAATTATGACACAAATACACATGACCAACCAGACAGAACTTATGCTTAGATAAATATTTTCTTACAAAAAAGGAACCAGTATCATCTCAGGTTAGGAATCAGTAATTATAATATATTTGGTGCCAAAAAACCTCATTTTTCCAGAGTTGCTCAGCATAACGTTTCCATTTCTCAATGCCAGTATAGAGTACATCTGCTTTTTTCACTGGAACATTTGTGTACCTGAGTATTAAAATGTTGTAAATTTTCAAAAATTTGTAATCAAGCTGCAAAAAAATCAATTTGAAACTTTAATAGGATCCCTGAGGTACCTGGAAGATATGATTGGGTCAAACGATTCAATATAATCCAGTTTTAACGGGCATTTTCTGTAAAAAATAACATTATTTTGAGTTTGCTGTCCTTACATTAGTAATATTGGAAAGAAAATCTTACCAGGGTTCATTGGCTTTAAAAATTAGCCGATCGTGTGGGGGAGGATTGGATGGAACAACAGGGCAGATTTTAGGGGTAACCCTCTTATCAATTTCCTCCTTGCTCTCTTCAGATGATACTGTAGGTTTGCCCTTGGCCTTGGACTTCTTAACAGTTTTCATGCCATTAGATTTCATGAATGTAATAAGTTCAGCGACGTTGAAATCTGAATCTCCACCATCAACCACTAATTCTTTTTCATTATCGGACACATTATGTAGCATGTCATAATCCTCTTGTGTCCCACCAAGGTCGATGACATCTTTGAGCATCAATGTTCCTGATGTATCAGGATCTTCATCTTTACCATCAGTTTTAGCATCAGCACCGTTCGGTAATTTAGGTGTGTCTTTCTTCTTATCCTTCTTTTTCTTTGATGTCACCACATTATCATTAGCAGTGCCATTATTGGACGCAAGTGATAGTGCTTTCTTTTTGGCTTTGATTCTTTCAATCTTCTTCACAATACTGTTTTCAACAACATCTTTGTTTTTCTTGATTCTGGGCATAGCCTACAATTTCATTAACAGTTATTATATGAATCAATGAGTTTACAGTAAATAAAACAAAAGTTAAATAAAACAAAAGTTAAATTTATTACCAATTATTCAATCAATACATAGGGGGGTATGCAACGACCATTAATGACCATTAATGACCATTAATGACCATTAATGACCATTAATGACCATTAATGACAATGTCAGTTTTGTCAAAATTTCATCTACTGACATTAATGGTCATGTTTTTTCCGGCACTTCTTAGAGCGAAATGGACGGACGCCTGCATCACTTAGACCCTACCTTAAGTTAACTAACTACAAGTATATGTTATTATTTTACATTTACAATTAGAGATTCGAAAGAGAAAACTTAGAATAGAATCTTCCGTGGTTAGGCAGACCTTCCAGAATATCACTTGAGTGGATTCCAGAGTGAGTTAGGGATTACATTTATTAAGTTCGAATGTAATGAAGAACAAATTTTGCGGCCACGGGATTTAAACCAGATAACAGTTGGTGCAGTGACTTATAGTTATCAGTAATAATAATTCAAAGGGCAATTTAGGAGTATCAGATCGTATCAATAGTAAAATAACAATCAATAATAAAATAATAATAACACGGGTATTAAAATTAAATACTTCGATCCCGTTCTTATGTCATATCAAGATTTATATTTTAGCCAAATCATTATGCTAGTCGATTATATAGTAATTACAAGTAGATGAACTTATTCAACTTTAGCACTTCATGAAATACATCGTCATCAGTCTGAATCGGACAACAAAAAAGCTGATCTTTTCCTAGGATTAGATAGAACAATTCGTTTACAGACTACAGTTCAATACTCTGCCTTTGGCAGTTTAAAGTTTTGACCCAAAATCCGAAATCGAGCACTGTCATCATGATAGGGACAAATTGATGCGGCAGGAATTCGTCTAGATCTGCAGTTGCCCTTTTTTGAAGCAGAGACACTCATTGATAAGATGGTACCGAGGCAACGAAGGGGACGTTTAGCATTTTTTGGAACAAAGGTAGCACTTAATGAGTGCCCTTTCCAATTGTTCGACGTTGACAGGGCTTAGAAGAATTTTTGCCGCCCGGTTGGTATGGCACAGAACCCTCGAAACAGCCGGTACCAAAAAATTTCGATCTCTGACTTTTATTTCCAAATATCGTCTTACGATGGCATAGAAGATACTGTGAGGAGGTATTGAAAATCCAAATTATCAAAAGCAATCAACACAAATAAAGGAAATCAATACAATTCAAATCCACGCAAACTGCAAACAAGCATGTATACTAAGTCAACTGCAAACAAGCATTTATACTAAGTCAACTGTAAACAAGCATTTATACTAAGTCAACTGCAAACAAGCATTTATACTAAGTCAAATGCAAACAAGCAAACAGACAAGACAAGTTACCAACGTATAACAGAATGGTGCTTGGCACTCATTCCGAAACCGAGGTCCGGGCCTCTATTAGGCGAATATTAATTCGTTTTCTCAAACGAGACTCTGGCAATCGATGTAGGGGGCTAGGGCTGTGAGAAACTTTATAGAAGTGATACAAAGTGATCATAATTGTAAATTTCTTGGACATGTTGCTTCCAAGATAGTTCAGAAAGAATTTCAATTATTTAATGACCATTAATGACCATTAATGACCATTAATGACCATTAATGACCATTAATGACCATTAATGACCATTAATGACCATTAATGACAATGTCAGTTTTGACAAAATTCCATCTACTGACATTAATGGTCGTTGCATACCCCCCAATACATATCATAAATTCCAATATTGGAACCACTGCGCAGAATGGATGTATTGAACTATAATTTTGCTGTCACTAATAATCTATTAACTTTCAAAGTCGAATTTTAGTTAAGTATGAAATGCCACCACATTATAGTTGGGGTAAATATTATTCTTAAATTATAAAATTGAGAAATAGATTGCATTATAATTGAAATATCATTACTTGAAGAATAACGTGCATTTGAATAAAGAATATAGATGGGGGCTGGTGGTTTAATAGTAGTTGTGGGGGCATGTATAGCTGATGAATTTGAGTATTTGAAGTATTGCTAGTTAATGTAACAGTGGCGAGATTTCTATTTTCAAGTAATATCCAATTCTGTAGAAACAACAGACTTGGCATCTGTACAGAAGAATATCTGTAATCTAAAGAATTATACAAATTATTGAATTATTAAAAATTTCGCAACACAAATGAATAAGCCACATTAAACATTGAAGCAATGCAGCGAGTCTTTCATTTGCAACCATAAAGATAATCTTTTCGTAAGACAATCTTTTCGTAACTATAATGCTTTAGAAACTTTTATGAATTAAATGTAAAAATTTAGTACGGCCAATTAAATTGTAATTATCTGTACTGACGTTGTAACGCCCTATTCAATTGAAGTTAATGTGTGCTGTTTTGCCGAGACCTTCCTTTCTATTCAGCAGAAAAACTCTCTCAACATATTTATTCAAGTCTTACGTCAATACACTGTTGAACAGCATAAAGATTGAGATTGTGATGTAAACAAAGGATGATCAGCAGTTTCTTTGTTTACATCAGATTCAGAGCAATGCCATTCTCGAAGATTACTCACTTTCTGGTCACCATTGCCGAGTAGAGAATTTCAATTGCCGTTAGCTCGTCTACTCACACAGTATCAATTGCTTGCGCCTATTTCTAAAAATTCTGCAACTATGTGTCAATGTGGGATGTCTTACGACAACTCAAACAATGCTCTGTTTGGGGTTAAGACTGCTACAGAGAGGGACGCACTAGGAGTATTTATGATGTTTGTGTTCTTATCATCACTTCTTGGGGATTTAACCATTCTGGTTGCCTCCATTAAGTACAAGGCATTTAAACTCCATAAAATAGTAGTTGCATTCATCCAACATATTGCTCTCTGTGATTTACTCATCGCTACTTTGAACGCCCTTCCCAATTCTGTCTCAGCCATTGCTAACACTGGCTTTCCCTCATTGAAGTATGCAAGGTTTTTCTTTGGACGTTCCCTTTTTATTGTAAGCTGTTTCCTTGTCTGTGGCATGACATTAGGAAAGCTTCTTCTGCTCAAATATCCTCTCAGAACAGCATCTTTTTCCAGCAGCCGAGCTCAAAAGCTATGTGCAGGAATATGGATAATATCTATACTTATTTCCACTCTTCAATTTGTCTTAGACAAAGACGCCATATTCTTCCAGCTGTATAACTCCAAAAGCAAGCCTCGTTCTGTGGCGTGGAATATACTATCACCCATCATGACATTACTTGTATTCGGAACTCTGAATACTGTCATAGTTGTCTGTACAGTTCTGCTTCTTTTAGAAGCGAGAAAAGTGGTGAGAGGAACCGGACAGTCTCTCCGATGGCAAGGAATCATGACTGTGGTTCTAACTGCAACAGTTTATAGCGTCTCTTTCCTGCCTTTCACTGTCTACTCCATTGCAGCACCATTATATTTGTAGTGAAAAATAAAGTGGCACCAGGACCATTCTATATGGAATTCTATAGGGTAGCATGTGCCGTTATGTTCTGCAACGTTTTAGCAAATTTCCTCATCTACAGCTTCTCTGTGACCAGCTTTAGAAGTTTTTTAAAGACAAGGCTTCAACTGGCTCAGACGTTTCTGTCTGATCAATATTCTAGTGAAGGTGAAATAGACTATTCAATTTGTAAATTGTGGATTGTTGTTTATGCATGTTTAAAACTGAATTACTGAAATAAAATTATTCGGGCCTCCTAATGGCGCTGGTCGTTTATATATGATATATATATATATATATATATTGTATGACATGGTCACAGAATTATGCGAAATATACATGTTATGGACTATTATTCGGCAGGGAAAATCACAAAGGGAAAGACAACAGAAGAGCTTACTGAAGGAGTGGTAACAAAAGGAGAGGAAGAGAGACGTGTGAGAGGATTGAAAGTGATTAAAGGAAACAAACATGATGAAGGGGTGCTAGAAATAAAGATGCCAGAGGATATAGCATAAGAAGGCGTACAAGAGTTAGAGCGAAGAAAATACGATGAACAAAATCTGAAGAAAAGGGCACTAAAGAACAAAAAGACGAGCTAGAGCTATATTGCTATACTAGGATGCAATACAACGCTACGAATATAAGAACTAATGATGTTTTCATTTGAATTTATTACTTTTAGTTATCTTTTTTTCCTGTAACATTTCTTGGTATCATCTAAAAATTATTTTTGAATTTTGAATAGATTCGTTATATTTTAATAATTAGTCTGCTTGCGTTTATTTTTTTAGATAAGTTTCGTTTTTATATTTACTGGGCCGCGCTCAGCCTGTCATTCCGCCAAATCTCTTTCGGCGTTTGTTTATGAACATATTAGCCTGAGGTCCCCAGGTAATTTTATATATGTCTGATATTAATTATTTCATTTGAAAAAAAAAAACAAACTATAAAGCAATTTTTGTGTTTGATGTTGAACTTCAACAAGATTTTAAAATTACATATTTCTAAATTTTTTAAATTATTTCCTCTTTGTTCTATCATCTATAAAAAGATTATTTTCTTGAAACAAAAAATTAAACAGTTTTATTTTGTTCATTGTTTGACGGATGTTGTAGCGCGATGCGTTACTGTGCCGCGCCGCGCACTCAATAAGGCTTCTCACAGCGACACGGCTAGATCGGCGAGATGCGCTACTGTGCCGCGCCGAGCTGCCATGAATTGACATCGTCAATTAAGACGGATGTTACTCGTCTAAATTTCCACGAAGTAGCGCGCGCCGCATTCTTCTCGAAAAATGGCAAGTGCTACGAAGCTAAACCATTAACAATGGTCAAGCACTTAATTATATAAATTACTTGGAATTCTTTCGAAAAATAATAACAAAATCAAAAAGTCAATTGTCTTTTAATTATTTTCTTTAAAGCTTTGTCCTATAAAAAATTATTTTCTTGAAACAAATAATGAAATAGTTTTTATTTTGTTCATTTGTCATTGCATATTTTATTAACGGATGTTACTAGTCTAAATTTCTTCGAAGTAGCGCGCGCCGCTTTCTTCTCGATGACACGAGCTACGAAGTAGCGCGCGCCGGGCCAGATCATTGACAATGGTCAATTGTTTGACGGATGTCAAACTCGTCTAAATTTCCTCGAAGTAGCGCGCGCCGCTTTCTTCTCGAAAATTAATGGTAAGTGCTACGCGTACGTAAAGTAGCGCGCGCCGGGCCAGACCATTAACAATTTGTAGGTTTACAACCTACCAGGACGCGCGCCGAGTTGGACTCGTCGACGGTCTGCAATATATGGCTCTTACTAATTCGCTCGCCCAAAAATTTCACGTGACTTTGGTTTTGCAGCCGCGTACAAAACGGTTTTACATAAACCCTAATCCCAACCCTAACCCTAACCCTAACCATTACATAACCCCGAAGCTATCCATAACCCTTACCACAACCCTAACCCTAACCCGAGCCCTAAACAACCGAATTCATATTTTACTAGCCTGTCACGTGACCAAAACGGTTTTTTGCCCATAACTCTCCAGGGAAGCATTTTAACCCTACGTCATGGGGGGTGATTCGGAATCAACGTCCAAAAATACACCGATCCAGATTGCAGATCAATTTCATACCCAGAAGGCCTTTTTTGTAGGTTTACAACCTACCAGGACGCGCGCCGAGTTGGTCCCAATATATGGAACAGATATTTTACGAGTATCACCCGTTAAGGCCTTTTCACAAGAATTTTCTTAAAATTTGGGCGAGCGATTTAGTAGGAGCGGCAATATATGGAACGGATATTTTACGAGTATTACCCGTAAATTAACAATGGTCAAGCACTTATATAAATCACTTGGAATTCTTTTGTAAAATAATAACAAAATCATTAAAAGGCAATTGTCTTATTACTCCGTAAAAACGGTAGGTTTATATTTATAACCTGCCAGTTAGTATAAAATAATAAACTACCAAAACACGCACCGAGTTGGATTCATCGACGGTCTTGGGATATAGATATTAGATATTTGGAACGAATATTTTACCAGTATCACCAGTTTACACCAAAAAAAGCACAATAGCATGATTAGCTTTTGTCGAGGTGCCTCAAAAGTGATCTTAAACGATTCCCCGTTCAATTTTGGTTGCCATTCACGATTTAACGGGTGATACTCGTTATAAAATATTTGTTCCATATATTGAGTCTAACTCGGCTTGCGTCCTGGTAGGTTGTAAACGGGTAAACCTACAATTCACGATTACCAACAGATCGATCGCGATTCCCAAGCTTGTAAGCCCGGCCCCAACTGATCGTAATTTTCAAAGTAATATTAATAATAAATGCAAAGTTGAAAGTGCGCATCTTCACAAATCTCCATTACCTTATTGGTATTCTGCAGTTTCATGTAAATTTCATGTTTGACTGCAATTTAAAAAAAAAACCTTTTTCTTCATTCTTTCGAGAGCTAATGTGGAAATAAAGGAAATAAAACAAAGTTTAATCATTTAAGAGATAAAAAGATTCAATCAAATTACGTAAAAAGACGACATTCATTAAACAACCCTAAAACTAAAAGTTTTACTTTATCAGAATTAACAGCAGTAGATTGTAGATGAAAATCTGTCTATCTAGTTGCTAAGTATAACTAGAAGCAACTTCAGCTTAAACTTGCTTTCCGCACTACGTGCTTAAAATGACTCGAACGAATATGTTAAATTATTTTAGCATTTTATCGAGTGTCAAAATGTGTCGACACTTATAAATTTAAATGTGGAATGCTAAGAAAAAGTTATTCACGAATACATTCCATGAATTGCAGATAATGATTCAGATTTAACAACTCAAATCATATTCCAGGATCTATGTAAAACAGGCCGTGTTCGTATTTTTATGAACATATGATTTGCATTTTACAAGACAAATAACCTCCTGTAATATGAAAAGCACAAATATCAGTCTGTAATCTTCTCACGAAGTCGAATATTGAAGGGCAATACCTCGATAAAAGTGTATGGATAATATCTTTAGCTTTGGGACGACAATAAAAGGAGCTGAATACCAAATACGCACCGTTTCAGCGAGAATACAATTCTATTAATAGCAATCACAAAGTGGCAAACCAATATAAATATTCAACTTAAACAAATTAACACTTTAAAACTCTTAAATTAAAGTGTAAAGCAAACAACACGGGAGATAAACTCCGGTATTTCATAGGAGGGCAATACAACACATATCATGAAATTACCAACAACTTCAGAAATCGAAGCATAAATATATCGATAAAAAACTACAAGAAAATCGTAATACAAGATACAAATCTTAAAGATCCAATCCATTGACAAACTTATCTAACAAGTCGCAACAGCACTCCTTCAGTCCTTCGGGGCTACTTTTGACGCCCTTATTTTAACAAACTTCGCTAGTCCTAAGCGATAACCTCCACTAATTGTCTTCAAGACGCAGTCATAGGCCTAGGACACATAGCCTGGACAGTAAGGGGCATGTCAACAGAACAGCAAGGTGCCCAGGTCAGAGTTGCTCCCTCCAGCTTGTCTAGGAAGAGTTTGCTGTTCCGGGTCCTCATTGCGTAGAGATCCCCGTCCAGGGAGGTGGAGATGAGAGTCCTGCTCTCCTCGGTGGAGGGATCTTGTTCTAGTTGGGCAACTGCTTCCCAAGTGTCCAACAGTACGTTGTACCTGGATGGGAGACTTGTTAGTACACGTTCAAAACGTAATACAATTTGTAACCAAGGTTAGATGTTAGAAAAAACATCGGGAGGTCTCTTACATGGGGGATTAGAGACAGGTCAAAATCTAGAATAATCTAAGGTTCTCCAGGATTATAATATTAGGCTTCAACAGAAAGTGGAGTTCAGCGGTAATGAACAAACCTGAACTGCTTGTTAGTTCCGGTCAGGACGTAGATCATTTCATCAACATTCCGGAAAATGGAGGGCGACTCCACCTTTTCAGGGATTGGAGCAACAGTTTTCCACAGGTTTAGCAATTTGTTGAGAACGAATACTTGATCGCTTGCACCACCCGCTGACGTACCTGACAGAAGATTTGAAATTAATTCTTGGATCGGAGTATGCGGTCATTTGACAGCACGTGGATGATTGAGAATCCATATTATTTCACAAGCTTTAACCTTCTAAGGGAGGGCAATTCTGAGGAACGTTTTACAGTTGGAATAATCTTCAAGTTTAACGACTTCCCACCCGGCCCTGGTCATATAATCAGGTTCAACCAAGATCAATATTCATAATTGCTGAAGTATTGACCAACTTGCAGTTTTATAACCACCTTCCACACCTTCTACATAACCACCTTCCACAACATTTATAAAATTAATGAAGCTCACCTCCAAATACCAGGATATTATCCCCCACAGAGCAGACAGCAGCTCCAGCTACACCGTGTGGTAGGGGTGGTAAAGTGGTAACAGTGTTGGAGGGGAGAGAGATGTGCTCCACTTTGTCACTCAGCAGGCCGTTTATTCCTTTTCCTCCGATAACATATAGTCCTGTCTCGTCTGCTACACCGCTAGCCTGGAGGGAAGGATATAATGGTTAGAAATAAGTTCAGGAAAATAGGCGAGGAAAATAAAAAGGTTAACCATGCCATGGGATGAGAACGTGTCCGTTAATGGTTACGGTGAATCCTGGAACAAATTTATGACAACTGTGGTTATACCATCACAAATTATTACTTAAAAGCTAGTAGATTTTAAAGTTATCAGGTCGGTTGTCGGTAATGTGACGTCAAATTTAAGCATATTATCCTTGATATTTCCATTCTGTCGACCAGCAATATGTGTGCTTAAATACTTCCAGATTTAATTTAAATCCAGATATAATATCATAAGTTTCAATTCCTACGATCAGTATAAATTTAAGGGAGTGGAGTCCTCACTCAGTGGACAGACAGTTTTAGTAAACTTAGTGCTCTGAATAACTTCCTGAAAGAAGCGGGTACCAGATATTTAACTGGTTAAGGTGCAGTATTATATGGTCCCGTTTATAAACCATTAAAGAGGTAAATAGGACCGGTCACAAAATGACACATTGTCTGAGGAATAGAGCTGCCAAATGGAGCGTGTCAGACTAGCTAATGTTATTGTTAACCAACTGTTTCCACAGGAAAAGGGGTGTATTGTTGGAGATCCCCCGTTTAAATTGACACAGTGGCCCCAGCCGGGCAGGTCTTATTGGCAGTTTCCTGTTACGACCCTGTAAAGGCATTGTGTCCCACCATCAGCACCAAATATCTTGACAATCCCGGTCAGGGCTCGACTTCTCCTGACAAGTTGGGACGCTAAGTTGCCGCTGTTCTCAGCCAATGAGCGAGCAGTGAGAAGGACGTGAACCAATGAGGAGCCGTGAAATGTGGCACGTGAACGGGAGAGAGTTAGAGGGAGTGAGGGAGCAGTAAGGCACGACGTTTATTGACAAGTTATACCTGGCTGGATGTGAGAAGACAAATTGCCCTTGTTTTGTCAAAACACTAAAAATCTGTATCAATAGTCGGAAAACCCAGGCGTCAGCAGTACCCGAACGACCAATGGGGAGGAAGAGCGGCTCTGGGAGAGCCAATGAAAACGCAGGAATGTTGCATGTGGTAGGTAAAATAGCACTGATGGCATATGGGATACCTAGACGCAAGAAAAATAGACTCATTCTACCATACTAAACTCTGTGGACAAATTATATTCTTAGTTTTATTGCCGTTTCCTCGAGCGGAATGAACGACCAATAAGTATTACTACCTATTTTCAGCTCAGTTGATCGGAAACACGTATCGTGCCCAATCAGCTGATTCAGCCGCAATTTGGCATATTCTAGTGGATAAGGAGACCACAAATAACAATAGCAACCCAGACTATGGGTTAGAGGACGTGACTAGAGCAGTCACAAAATGTTTAACAAAACCTCTAGCGTCTCAACGCGTCAAGCCGGACAAGCGTGAGTCAGTGAAAGTTAATAGTTATCCTATAAACGTATAAACATGATCAGAATTTAAGGGGATGTGTCAATAAACTGACCTGTGACCGAGGATGGCTGAGTTGACAGAGTGAAGTGTTCCAAGTATTTGTAGAAACATTGTAACTGCTTACTTCCCCACTTGGTAGTCCTTCTGTCTTCATTCCTGAAAGTGGGCCACGTTAAAAACTCGAGAAAATACGGGGATTCGATTTTAGGGTTTTCAGCTTGGCGGGTCAAACTAGGTCTGGTTTAAAACCGTTTGTTATCTTGTTGTTGGGTTGTCGCTTTACTTTTTCAGTTGTCACTTTACCATGTCAGTTGTCTAAACTGATGATTTTTATTGCCCGCACGATCCACCTAATCTGACATACTTAAAACCTCAGAATGACGGGCCTGAGCATGAGGCTAGATCTGGTTACCCCGTCACCTCCAGATAAGTGGACGAGTTATAGGTCTACTGGAGAACGGGTCTGCTGGAGTCTGCTATAATTTTTAGACTCTGGAAATGTGGCAGATCTTGACTGCTTAGATTGCAGTTGACTTGTAACACCTCATAATTTCAGCCTCTCAATGACTTGCACTGCACGTTTATTTTCGGTGCTTCATTATCAAATTTCGGGGAAAGTTTCGATGACTTTGATATTGACAAATGATTCAAGATTAAATCAATGCTCTGATCGTTATCCTTCTAATAATTTGATGCTCAGATTCCAGGATTGGTACGATTGCTTTGATTAGAGCCACGCCAAAATAAACAAACGTGCCGTTCTTTTAACATATCCGCGATATTTTGATAATCGAGTAACGTTCCAGCTTAAATCGATTTAGTTTGGCAAGATTTTGAAATCTTTCAACTCAAACCGATCATGTCCAGAAATAATTGAATGATAATGTAGCAAACATATTGATCAGTGAAGCACAATTCGATTTCCTCGGAAAACTTCTCCTTACAAAGTCAAAGTAATTGGATTTTGTGGGAATTGTGATCAGGTATTGACCTTCATTCTTTTGATTGGAAATAAACTCCGAGATTCTTCCACACCGCAGGAACTTGAAAACCCGCAAAATTTCAACGATTTACTTTGAACAGTACTTTAAGAGTGGAATCAGACAGTGACTTTAAAAGTTGCTGCACTTTAGCGTTAAAATCGGATCATGTTAAAAGAAACTTAGGATACTTAAACGTTAAAATCATGTTTTAAACATCACTAATATTAAAATAACAGCCAAGTCAATAATAACATTTCTTTAGTACTGACCTCCGATAACGTAGATGGACTGAGCAGCGTTGAGAAGGCAGTACTGAGTTCTGTGCAGTTCAGTCGAGCAGACTTCCCAAGCGTTGTTGCGGGAAGTATCGTACTCGTAGGCTATGGTACGTGAGTTTTCCGTTCCCAGCAAGCAGACGTTTTGTTTCCTTTTCCTGGAGAGAGGAGAGGTGAGATATGGGAATAACAGGAAGCCAGGAACTGTGATGTTAAGCAAGTACAGCTTTCTCTCGGTACCTACTACAAACCAGGACCCAAACAACTAACCTTTTTCTGAAATGGTAATCCTCGAGTCCATGGTCCCTCTCGGGGAGCAGGAAGTGGTTTTTAGCCTGGTGAAGAAGAGACTCGCACTCACGATGCTGTCTCACAAGTTCCTCAGTCTCTATGTTGTCTAACAGGAACTGAGCGTTTAGTTGGACTAGCCGTACTTTTCTTAGGAGTTCAACCACGTAGAACTGGGGAAAAGAGAGCTGAGTTAAAAATTAAAATTTTCAGCTGCAAACTTTCAGAGAAAACTTAAGGAGCATTATTATAAAGCTTCAAACTCCGGTCTATTTATAAATATTTTCAAGATATTTCATAACTGTGAAAATATCCTGGAAATATCTATAATTAGATCTAAGTTTGAAAATTTATGGACATAATATTACGGCTGTGCCGGGCACTGCCAAATAAAAGAATGTTTTATTTCAGCTAATGAAGCATGTAATTCACTAATTGTAACAATAATATAGACATTTTGCACAAAGAAAACTATGCATATTACATAACCGACCTGTCTGTATAAAGGACTACGGCGGACCCATCTAATAATGACTTGGTAAACATCAGTCTCATTCTGCACCACCAGATCGTCGTTACCCAGGAAAAAGAGGAGAGTTTCAGGCCTTGCGTCGTACACCTCCTCGTGCTCAATAACTCTGTTCCAGTTGTTACATATGTACCTGCAAAGGAGGTAAAGGATCAGTGACGATTGGAAACTAATAGGAATCGTCTAGAACTTTATAGGGTCAGGGGTTCTAGAGACATATAATTGATACAATAAAGATTAAAGATTTTTGTCTAAATTGTGTTTTCGGAGGTCGTGTGATATCTCATGTTTTCTGTGCGTCAGATTAAGTAAAATTTTGCAACGTTTTATGTTTTCAACAGGATAGCATCATCTGTTTAGGCTCTTAATTTCAAGGTCCAGATTATTAAATGTGCATACCATCCTGGAGAGTGCAAATCTAAAAGTTACTGGAATAATGATCCTATCTTCGCACCGTGGGCGTTGATCTGACGACAATTATTTGACTTAACATCCTCAATACGTCAAGGCTAGAATCCCCTTACTTCAATTAGTGGAGCCTCATATTGTCAGATAAATTGATGCTGTGAACAATGAAACCATTAAACTTTACAACTTCTAAACTTGTTTTCAACATTTTAGACGCAAACTTTAATTCGATTTGCTGGGCGGTTGACGGTGCCTCGCTCTCAACACAGACACGGGATTACGGCCCGATTACGGAAACAGCCGGTTAAACGGTCAGGAGGGATTTAGACACGGTTACCGGACTGGACATGAGTGTCAATGATATAATTGGCAGTGGCAAGGTCACCCACTCTCTCACCATGCTGCCAGCCAGCCAGCATTCAGATAAGACGGCTTTGTAATGGGTCGGTGATACCTCCCGCTACACTTCAAAACGATCTTTACAGCCGAGCTCCACAGAGGGCAGCCCAGTCAAATACCAAACTGTGAATTGTTCCTAATTAACGAGTTGGATATTTTAAGTTGGGTTCCCGAGCAAGGGGAGACACAACTGTGGAACCCGCTACTAGTCTGGTCAAAATTATCTGATAAACAATCAGGGAGCATTCCTCTAACTGGCTACAAACATCCATGTGATCTGAGTCTGGTTCTCATTCGTTCCTCACTCAGGGTGCGAATTGTCGGGGGACGGTATTTGGTCAATTCTGTGGCAGAATTTATATAATACGATTAGGGAAGGGAGGCGACTTCAAGAAGCTCTTATCAATTCGGCTAAATGAGCAATTCATTATCCAACATTTCAGGGACATTTCAGGTAAAGTCATAGCAGACGAGCGAGCCAACGAGCAATTCATTACATTTTATTAGCAAGTTGGCTGTTATTTGGGACCACCTAACATTACAACATGTAACTTTTATTAACGGTTTTTGGATTCTAACTTGGATTTAGCTCAATTATTAGGTCATCTTTAGTTCCAAATTTTTGACAAGTAGGTATTGTTTCGCACTCAAAATAGCATCAATGAAAAAGACGAGTTGTGTGGTCGGTGGAAGGAGGTTTATGAAGGAGCAACACGAACTTGTGTAGCCGGGTGATCAAATGCTATCTGAGCTATTTTAAGAGCTAGCGCGAGACTCCGTACTGCCAATCTTTGGTGGTCAAAAATTAGCGCTCCGAATATTCATCTATATTAGACATAATATCCGCCGGGCAAAAATTCATATTTCAAACCGTAAACTCAAATATAAATGCAGGATAAATATAGTCATTTCAAATATTTGGTTCAACTATTAACGTGGATCATGGGAAAATTCCAGAGAAGGTTTAAAAGTTGGAACCCACAAAGCTACTTGTCAAATTTTAGCATGAGGAGAGCGTGCCCGCGTGGAGTCAAACAAGGACCAGACTAGTGACCTGGTCTCGGAAATTGATAGAAAGTAACAAAATCTGGGACCGCAGGGACAAATCGGGGGTCCTTTGACCCAACGTAAAACGTGGCGGGGCACCGCCAGTGGTTTTTGAGTAAGTAGTGCTGAAAAACATCTCCAGAATGGTGGTGAAGAGCACACTTGAGGAACCAGTGAGAAGCAAGTGGAGGATGGGGAGGAGACTTAGAACCTAGGTTACTTCAGCTAGCCTACACTACTAATGTGTTGACCACTGGGCTGGATAAAAATAATATCTTACATGTCAAATAGTATGTAAACTTACTTGTCAAGGATTGCTTGTAGTTTGGTCAAGCCCTGCAGCGTCACGAACTCTCTCATACGGATGCAGTTCTGAGGGGTGATCTTCCGGCGGAGGTACTCACAGCACTTCTCAACTATTGGAGTGAAGTGGAGCAGGTTTGCTGCTGTCAGCATTTCTGTTACCCTGGGGGAGGAGGCGTGGATTAGTGGAGGATCTAGAAACAGAAACAAGAACATGTAGAGGAATCTACAGTATGAAGATTGAAATTCAGGGAGATAAAGACTGACTCGAGACATTGAGAAAAAGCTATCGAAGCAGGGACAAACGGATCAACCAAGAATATGATTTATGTTAAGATAAGTAGCTACCTGATGTAGTTTATGTTCAGTGAGCCTGTGTAAGCAAAGTTCACTAATAGTTCCACCGACTCAGGATCAACTCCCCTCAGCTCGATGTAGCTCAAAAGCTTTGTGTTTGCCAGGAACAGTAGTCGGAAATACTGACTGAAAACATACTTTGGTTAGAATAGTAAAAGATGATTAAGATTATTAGTGAAATGTTAGTTGGGAAAGATTTTACTGTACGCTTTGTTTTAACGGCTATATTGCTCTAAATTTTTTTTGGTACAGATCACTGCATAAGTATCAGTTTCGGAGAAACTACGTAAGGTATTTTTAGGACTGTAGATTTTTGGTGTGCTCTTTTTATTTCAGGTATCCTATTTTCATTCGATTAACTTTAAGCTACAGATAAAATAATTTCATCCGGGCATCGTGACAACATACGAGAACTATTGCAGCTTCATCCCGGGTCAAAATACCGAAATAACTCGATATAAACTGAGATTACGGAATCTATACCGTCTGATTGATTAATATTACAAAGGAGCACACACTGATACAGGGAGTCGGGGGAGTCTTTAGTCAGTGCGCAGTCATGAGGATGGTTAATAGGCTCCCATCTCGTTTGTGGAGGTAATGATCAGTGTGGCAAAGAGGCCACCTCACCAACAAGTCCCCCCTCCCGACTATAGGACACGGTAATTTGAGGTAATACTAAATCTTGCAAAGACATAACATGGACACCTAGCTGGTTGATAGTTTCCTGGCTATATTTATAATAACAGGACACATGAGAGGATGGGTTATTTTCCCATGACTGATGTTCACATCAAAATGGTATGCTGTCAACGTGAATCCCAGTCAAATTTAACATAAACGGATGTATCGTGCAAGGTGCTTATTTCAAGTCTAAAAATCCTGAATTCCAGTTTGAGAACATGTTAGAAGGGTTCTTTGCGGGGTTTTCCGACTCATTAGATCAAATAATGGTAGACAATATTTTTCACAGTTACTTATGTGTCAAGCTTTGACTTAATCAAATGGATATTGTTTGAACCAGACTTGTGTTGATAAGTCTCTCAATTGGTTGCCGGATTGCTCGACCCCGTCAACTCCAATATTATTGGAGAGCGAGACCCTCTCCGTCAACTTTAGTCTCATTATCTGCCAACAATAGGGCTGGTACCGACCCCCAAATCGTTCCAGATCATTATAATGTGGGAAAAGTAAGGTTTCTTAGTAGGACACACAGGCTACAACCAAATTGGTTTTTCACGGAATTAGAAATTTTATCTGCGAGCAAGATTACTGCGGTTTGTGATGAAGCTTTACTTCCGATCAGCCCATAATACCCGGTAGTCCTGAAAAAATCATCTAATTTCACAATAGATTTTCACAAACAGACAAACAAACTGCCTTCCTAATCTAAATGAGATGAGAAAGAGCAGTACCTTGCAGCTGCGAGTACAACACGGTGTGCGTAGATCAGGGTCCCGTTAACGCAGAGTGCTACATCGCACAGGTGGTGCGTCAAGCGCAGTGCATTCAGCTCTGTTAACAGATCGCAGGTTGTTGTTTGTACTGGAGATATGTTTATTAGTGATGGTTGATCATTTGCCGGTTCTTTCCGAGGAATAGGTTACTCTGTTTAAGTTCAATCAAACGGACCTTATATGGTCGTATAGGCTTAGATGCAGCAATTTCAGAGTAAATAGTCACTGGTCAGATGTTTTTACCTGTTATAGCACCTTCCTTATGATCCAGATTAATAACTGGAAGGGGGGAGGAGGGGACTGGGAAGGTTTGCTTCAGAGGTGACCCTGATTCTGTTACCATGGGGTGGTCGGGACTGGAGCTGCCCTTCTTAATGTTCAGTCTATCTGCGGAGATTAGTTTGTTATCGATGATCAGGTGATATCTAGAATCACATGACACATTGTAGTGTAGGAGCACGTGGGGTGGACACGTGACATTGAGCGTCTCGCTAGTGTGACTTTAGGTGCTCAAATCTCCTTCTGTTTGTTTCAAATTGGGAGATAGAAGCCCTACTTGGGCCTCCCTCGAGCCCTACTTTGTGAAACAGAGCGTCAATATTATATTCTAATAGGATTTAGACGACTGCTAATGAAGATAATTTAAAATAATAACTCCGGGCTACCGTGTGTCATGCCCTACTTGCAGTTTGTCAATTTGTAACGACTCAATATTTAGAGTTCAGACCGGCTTATCAACAAAATATACCACTTCACAACGCCTTATCTTCCAAATTTTTGATGCGATTTATACGGTATGAAGCCACTCAACTAAGTTATAAATCAGGCTTGAGAGAGGAAATGTTGGTGGTGCCCTGCAAGGGGCAGGTATGCGACCAAGACAACACTGGTGTTACCACGGCAACACTACCCGTAACCCAGCAACAGTCACCAAATAATTTAGAAACATTCATGTGCGGTTAAAATACCTTTTATTTTACAGAATGTTGGTGTTGACTCCAAAGCTGAATAAGGTATTTCGTCTTTTAGTGCCTTCATTGGATCAAATCTGTAACAATTTTCGGTGTGAATAAATTGAAATAATGTTCGATCAGGTCAAGAAATGGTATTTAACCAGGCCAAGAAATGATGTTTAGCTTTTATAGGGAAGCTGAAGATACGGACAAACAAATATTCATCAAAACAAACAAAAAAGTATAAAACATTTCACTGAAACTTGATGACCATACCTCATTATTTGTCTAGCTTCCTTGGCAAGTCTGTTGCTATGACAACTAAACAAGAACTCCTCTGCCATTGGGGGGTGATCATGTGTGCTCTCATACACCACACCTCCACCCACATCAGTGTGCACTTTACCTTTGCAGCTTCGCAGTGTGCATCTCCAGTACACCTTCTTACCGTTACTGCTCGTACTGATTTTGGAGTACCTGGGGTGGAACTGTTACTTCCGGGTCTGAAAAAAAGTTCGGGAACTATCATACCACTCGTTAAAAACCGCTTTGATCTATTTAATGAGATTGGTAGGCCTCAACATTTGACAATGTATCTGGTGTGAGGACCTCACTTCTGGTGTGTGGACCTCAGCACATTCTAAAGTGCTCTATTTAGACCTCAATATAATAAATGTGACACCAGACAGCTGATCCTTCTCTCAAAGCCCCGCTCAAACCAGAGCATGTAGCCCCACTCTCAGCTGACAGACCAGTAAAGTGGGATCCTCCATCACATGGTCAAGACAAATTCCATTAGCTCTACCAGACTAGTTGGGACTCCTTGGCCAGCTACTTGGGGCCTAACTTTAGTAGGCGCCCGACCCTTGATCGGCGGCAATTGTGAAAATGACATTAACTTTTAGCAGTTGCCGGGCTGATAGCTAGCTGTATGTTGAGCTGTAGAGGATATTCAGTTAGTTAGAATTAGTTAGAGCGGTTATAGTTCCCCGGTCTCTCTCTCTCACCACGGTTAGAGAAATTAGTTGCCCGGACACATCAGGATAGAGAGAGAGTGTGACACAACACTGTGTTACATTTTTGACTGGGAGCTAGACTGGCGAGGAGGAGAAGAGTGGCTCAGGGGGCATATTGGGAGAGAGAGGGGCTCTAACACTTGATCACTTTCTAAATCACATGCCAATGACATGCTCATTGTATTAACCCGAACAAATAGCAATATAAAATGCGTATTTAACCCCAGATCTCCACCAGGTACCCTGGAAACATCTTATAAATCTAATCCGTATCAATATATGGGAACATTTTGGGTATATTTAGATTCTTGCTTGAATTAATTTAAACGCCGTGTTCAGAGTGAAGTGAGGTACAGACTGAGGTGGGTTTTAGCGGGGACTTACAGGCCACCCGAACATTAGTCCATAACATATGACCTTCTTTGATACAACAAAATACGCCTAAATTCGATCACCAGGACTAAGCTGAATACTGAGATTATAATTAAAAGGTGCCAATGACCTACCACCGGTGATGATAGAATATGTCACAAGCCAAATAATCGATTTTAGGCCACATCAGAAAAATTTACGTAGAATCCAATCCGAAGGACAGCATTTTGACTGCACTCACATGTGATTGAATCATTACAAATCCGTTATTTTATACTGATAAACCGAGGTCAAGAGATAATTGCCACCATGATGAGGTTATGTGAGATGTGAAAGGCTCTCAATAACTAGCCTCGAGTCGGAGAGGAGGTGGACTCTAGAGTTGAGAACCTTGTAATAGTTTATCATGAGAAAAAGAGAAAAGACACGAGCTGGAGAGAGAGAAGTGTGATCTAGAGTAGCTGGAGACAGTAGACAATGTGTGACCGGGAGATTCCGGAAAGAGAGAACCTCATATCCCACACAACTCACCAGTTACCAGACTGGTGATGACCTGTTACCGGGGGGTTACCAGGGTAATGTAACCCTGTTACCATGCTCACCAGGCTTGTTACCTGCAGGTTGTCCAGCCTTGTTACCATGCAGTCAGGCTCCTATATACCGGTAGTTTAACTAACCGGATAGCGTCTGTTTTCTTGGACCACCTGTTTGAGCCAGACCAAGGGCCACTAACGAATAGGTTGGTTCGTGAGGTAAGGTACAAATATATAGGTCACACTAGCTCCGTAAACAGCAGACTGGAATACCGTTCTATTTTGAGGAAGTTATTTAAACTATTGGTTTGTTCCCAGGCAATGAGACAACTAATTCTTGTTTAACATAGGCCTGGTAATGTTGTGAGTCTTGTAAAAACCTGCTCAAATATTGAACAATCATTGGAGGCGAGTTGTAGCGAAGTTTCGAGCGGGAAGACAGAAATAGACACTTCAACAAAAGTTCACAAGCGAAATACAGCAAGCTAGGATATACTGACCTGCTGAAGTATTAATTGCTTATGATCTTAAGATTGCTGGCAAAATCTCACAGACGGATTTGGCGGGTCTAGACTAGCTTGGCGAAAACCCATGAGTAGAAATAGTGTGATTTTCACTGCACGCAAGCAGTCACCTGACTAAGTTACAGAACATATTATATTGCTATAGGACATTTTCAGAGATCTTATGCTCTTAAAGTGCAACAATTTTTGGCCTACAATTATTATTCAGTTCCATGTTGATTTTGAATCCATGAAAACTGAAAAGAATTAGAAGTTGATTGCAATAGCTGGGATGTGATGGATCTTGGGCGATCATGTTGGGGCTGATATAGAAAGTCATACTTTCCAGTTAGCAGGCCTCAAGATTTACAGTAGATCAAAGGAGAGTGTCACATGCTACAATTAATGTGGTATTCTGGAGGCACTGCTGGAATCTGGGTACAACCCCTCAGTAGCCAAGGGCTGGCAGTTAAATCAAAATCAAATCACAAATGCAAGTTTGAACAGTCAGGAATCTAACTATCATAATAACTTTATCAGAAACTGAATCTAATTAACATGATAGTTTTATAAGACATTAAATCTAAAATAACAACTTTATCAGAAACTAACTAACTTAATAGCTTTATAATGAACTAACCGGTATCCGTTACAGATTAGAAGTGTGTATCCCTGTTTAGTTTGGAATATCTTTACCCCGTTATTTACTGTGGGATTGGAAGAAGACGGGTTCGTGACAGTCTTATCAACTTTCTTGGTCATGTCGCACATCTGAAACAAGTAACATGTTACTTATTGGTTACTTATTGGTTACGTATTGGTTATTCACTGGTAACTTACTGGTAACTTACTGGTAACTTACTGGTAACTTACTGGTAACTTACTGGTAACTTACTGGTAACTTACTGGTAACTTACTGGTAACTTACTGGTAACTTACTGGTAACTTACTGGTAACTTACTGGTAACTTACTGGTAACTTACTGGTAACTTACTGGTAACTTACTGGTTACTTACTGGTTACTTACTGGTTACTTACTGGTAACGCATTGTTGGTTACTTAATGGTTCGCTGGCCACTTACCGTGTACTCACCGATTATTCTGAGAAAGCTCAACGGGTACTTATTAAACAGCAAGCATTGAAAATTCGGTCATTCTTATAAATAACACAATTTACACCTTTACCAAGTTACCTTTTTTAGTCAGAAGAAAGACCAAATGCAGTTTAAAGTCAACTGTATGGTCATGTCATTTAAAATTACCGCTCGGTGTGTGATTTAGGCACAATTGCTGGAATGTTACCAAGAATGTTGCCGGCTTCGCATGTGAGTGTAAAACGGGGCTACTTTTTGAGGAGACGAGCTTCTCAACGGTCAACATTCTTGGCTAAAATTTTATGTTCCATTTATACTTGATTTAACCGCCGACCGAACATGTGAATAATCATAGTGAAACCAGTGTTGAAACTTAAAGATTGCAAATCATAAAATTGAGTGTCAACTTTCAACACTCTACTTTCGTGTTTACAGGAAAAGTGTAATATCAAACAAACCTTGTTAGCAAGAAGCTGATTAGCGTTGAGAAGAGAGCTGGTGTTGATGAAACTGTTGGACCCTGTGAACATAGGACCCTGAAGAAGATTGCCAGCACTGTGGGGCAGCATGTTACTGCTGTTAGATAACAGCGAACTGTTGGGGATGATGGAGGTGTTGGGGACCAGTCCATTGCTGGGGAGGAGGGATGTGGAGGGTATGAGGGGGGTTCCTGATAGAATAGTGTTGTTCTGAAGGAGACTGGGTCTTGGCAGTTGACTGCTGGAGCTGGAGGAGCTGGAGAACAGAGCAGTGCTTGAGGGTAACATGGAGCTAGTTGGCAGCAAGCCACTGTTAGAAGAAAGAAGTCCAGTATTAGAGCTAGAGGGCAGGAAACTAGCACTGCTCTGCATCATACTGGAGCTGGGCGGGTTACCACTGCTGGAAAGCAGGCTAGCACAGGTACTGGTCAGGGTGACAGGTGACGTGACACCGGGTGCTAGGTGAGAGGGTTTCTCCGGGGAGGTTGTTGGTTTGTTAGTCTTCTTGTCCGGAGAGTACAGAGGAGAGGGAGGCTCTGTTTTAACTGTCCCCGCACACAGATCAGCCTGAAATTTTAAATAAAACATAAGCTGTAATAATAGCTCAATAAATATTCAAAACGGAGCCTCTGATTCATGAACTAGAGAACATGCAGGTAAATTAAAGGGAGTGCCAAGGGAATAATGAGGGGGAGGTTAATCTTTATTTTAGACATCGATATTGTGTCAGGTATAAATCTAATACGACAACGCTCCTATTTCGATAATTTGATCGAAATGCCTGCCAATAGGAGAACGGGTGGAAAACTAAAGTGTAAAATTTCCCTTTTTAGTTTGGAGTTGACAAAGCGTGGCAGCAGGTTAAAATTGGAACATGTCTTAACTTGATACCTATACCAAATTTGGAAGCCAAGATCAAGGGTTTTTAGCGTGAACACAAGCGCCAATACTGAATACGTTTACTTTGCGGATTTAAAAATTTATTACATGGTTTTTAACACTCTTAATTACTTAGTTGAATCACCTATCAAATGATTGTCAGGATGATTTAATAAATACCAAAGTAATAACAGCCTCGTTTTAAAGTTTAGGGAATATTTAAGACATTTTCACCATTTTTGCCATCACAAAACAATCGGTGAAATAAATATTTAATCATTTTTGACCTTCGAAAAAAATGTTAAATGCCAAGATGAACCTCCATATGCCTTCCTCTAACTACATATTATATAGGACAGTCAGATGTCCCTTCAAATCGTCCATAAACTGTCATAAAGGAGTTCTAAAAACACACGAGAATTCTAGAAACACAAGAGAATTCTAGAAACACAAGAGAATTCTAGAAACATACGAAACAACAGTAATCTAAAACCAACCTTATACTGCAGAAGGGACGATATAACATCGTTCATCTTGATGGTAGGTGTAGTGGGGAACATGAGAGGCAGACACTTGTTGTCAAGGAGACTCTGGAGTTGCTCTGCAGCACTGGTTACTCCGTAGGGTTCAGATACTCGACTTAGCAGGCAACCTTCCATCAAACACTAAGATAAAAGTACGGTTAGTGCGGAAAGGGGAAGAGCGGTAACAATTATACTAGCGCTGGAATATGAAGTGCTGGTTAATATATGTAATATATAGATAATATATTATATCTTGAGGCTATTTTACTATCTGCACTGCACAGTGCCATTTGACAATGTATGCCCCTCGTTTATTAAAGTTATTGTCAAGTCTAAAAATGGTGATGTTCAGCGTTCTGAGGAACGATGAAAACCATTTTCCAAGAAACCTAACCCCGGCAATATATGACCAGGGAGCTATGGTTAAAGAGCTTGAGATATCTAAAAATGTAGTTACAGATGATATAACTTGAGGAATATTTTGCCATCAGCTGAGAGCACCGGATCCTGAACAGTGAACAGTAATGAAAGACCAGTAGGTGACGAGGAGCTGCAGTTGTCACTGGTTCCTCAACACTTAAGCTGGTCGAGTGTTGAGCCTTGAGAGGAGCTGGTTACATTTTAGACGACTTTAACTTATAAGGGTGGTGCTCTTATATTGCTCATTGTTAAGCGTTTAAGTGCCATATAATTATAAATATAATGTAATTGTTAGAAAATCGAACCTGACAAAAATCATGATCGGTACTCAAAAGCCAAATGTGTTCCATATAAGGTCGACGGAGGCACGAAACGAAAGGATGTTAGACAGCAAATTAATTGCTCCAGTATATTGACGTTAAAATCACTCTGAGCAGGTCAAGAGAAATAGCTAGTTGGACTCACAACGCGCCGGGCCTATTACTCTAATATAAAACGGCAATAGTCTGAGAAATCAAAAACTTGCACGTGCAAAGGCCTCGGCTCAATCACAGACGGAGAAATAATCAGTTGAGAGAGGAGGGAGAGGGTAATACGGTCCGGGGCACCTTTAAACACGCTACCCTTTTCAACGCAGATTAAGGTGAACAGGGGTCTTGTCAAAAAGCAATCACCGTAACCACTTTCTCTCAATTCCAGAGATGTGGAGCACTATAAATGAGAGCAAGACGGTGCAATCTGTTCAATGAGAATTTACGGGGGGCAGGACTGTCGGCCAATAATTGCCCGGTCGCACGGGGTAGCCATCCCGATCACATTAACATTTCTTGACACGATTATTTCGGGTAGTTTGAAAGTAGGTGAAATAGCCCCTTGCGATAATTAGTCAGCTAATGACTGACAACACACCATCTTTTTCAAAGGCCACTAGTCTAACTGGTTATGGTAACTAGAGAGAGTGAGAGAGAGAGCGAGAGAGAGAGAGAGAGCGAGAGAGAGCGAGCGCTGAGAGAGCAACAAAATAGACAATTTACCGATTGTAAATATGAACGTATTTTGGGATTTTATTGCCACCGGTCTTAGTTATATCACACGGAGGTAGTAGAGAGAGAAAATCTATCAGAATTTTATAGACATACGACCTCATAGGACACCAGGTCAACTTGAGGGGACATTAGTCCTCGATCTCTCCTAGCAAAACTAACCGATTATTCTAACGAACCTTTCTGGGTACTGGTAGTACTTACGAAATGCCCATTTTGGAAATTAAACAGCTTATATAGAATTGATGAGCATGCAATTCTGGCGGAATATGACGGCGACACAAAACAGATACATGATGTATACAGTTATCAAGTCGAGCAGGTCAAAAATGTTAAAAGTTAAGAAACTAGAAAGAGAGCGGCGATCGCTCCGATAGACAACTTAGACGGAACGTTTTTGACTCAAAATTCTCATACATAATGCAAAAAGTAAATGGAGAACCAGTTCTTTATAAATTGCCGCAATATTTCTAGACAAACGACGATCAAATCGTAAATAACAAATAATTTGCATGCTTCAAAAGATCCAGCAAGTTAGATTGACTCCGAGATTTAACTGATTGTGCTGAATCATTTGAAATGAACTTCACGTCGGGCCGTTTTAAGAGATCAACCAATCAGACGGCTGGAATTTGTATCATGGAGTGCTTTTCGGCCAATCAGTGGACAGGAAAGAAGAGTAATCGTAGTCAAACGTAAAACTTGTATCGATTCGTAAAGTGGGCTGGTCTGTCTGAAAAAGAAAAAGAGCTTGCAAATTTAGCCGGGAGAAGAATCTGCCAGCAGATAAAGTGGAGGATCGGGGGAAGTGGATTTTGACAGAGTTACCCGCCGTTAAATCACTCTCTATCTAAAAACCATCTCGTAGACGACAAATGGTGAGCTGATGGATTATTCATTGCAATTTGAGGGAAAGTCCTTTGAAGAGCAACTTATAATTTTTACAGTACTTTGGGCAGGCTTAAATAGCTCTGGGAATTTTGTGCGTTAAAAGCAAAATGACTCGTGACAATGCGAAAATATTAGCAAGGACATATAACTGACCCATTAAACAAAACCACCCAATCAACGATCAACCGCGGTTGACATGGACCAATCAGAGCCGTCCTATCACATGATGTCATACTCACTGACCAATCACAGTAGAGAAGCGGTTCAGCTCAAAACACCAGTCGGAAGGGGCAAAGTCAGATTCTCATCCGATGATGAAAGGTCGGTAAAATATAAGATTGTCCGCTGAAAAGGGGAGCCTTCCATTTAGAACCACTTCAAAGTTCTTGTCAAAATAACAACAACTTATGCTAATCATCTACTTTGTCCAACGTAAAATCAAATTATTAACCTGGTTGATAGTAGTAGCCCAATTAGTAAGCGTTTCCCTAAACAATCAGGGAGTAAATAGCTCGCCTGGTGACGGAGCAGGAGCAAAGCAAATATTTAATTTAGACAGAGGTACAGATCTCGTAAGCCCAGGGTAATATCAGGATCGTTAGACTGCTGTTGATAATGGCAAAAAGTCCCGGATCACAAACAAAAATCGTTGGCGTAATTTGCGGCAATTTATCGTACCAACAGCAGCAAGACAAGAGCTCATATTGATCAGTAGACCCAACAAACACAGGAGTTCTGTGAAGCGCAATACCGACCACCGGACACGACAAAACCACGTGACAATTAACCCATAAGCCGATCAAAACCCTGGAAACCGCCCACATGACTTGTCCGCACCAATGGGAGACATGTCACGTGACGAGCAACCCGTGTTGTGGCTTGGCAGGGTGGTACGCTCACGGGAGGGTTTGACAGTTAGGTTTGACTGCCTCGCTGGAGCCGTTTTGCCAGTCAAGATCAGGCCCCCAACTAAATGTGCCACAATGACTCGGAGTGAGACTTGTGGCAGATGCATGCTGTATTTTAGACAGGGCGGCTGCTCTCTTCTCCACCAAAATTGGTGCTCATGATATGACAAGTAAACTGGCCTGTAAATCCACAAAGCCACAATTAGATTTTCCCAAGGAATGCAGCACAAGTCTCTAGACACATGTCAAAACAGGAGGAAACCGTTAGCAATTGCTATTATCAGTGTCTTTAAAGAAGGAGGGTGAGGGAGCTGACTACTAACATATTACAGGTTAGAGACAGTTAGAGACAGCAGCGAGTTACCAAGGTAGTTATCCTAAGAGAGCGGTAATCGCTATAAACTCACCAGTCATGTTTAATGTTAATAATGGCCCTGTTTGCACAGATTACATCACAGATTGGAGAACTATTCCGTACCATGGTATCTTGATGTCCGGTAAATAATACGTGTGAATCTAACAAGTGTGAAATGAGACTAGGATTGAACTGGAAGACTGCTATTTAATAGTTGCTAGCTTCTAAATTGAGAACATTGAACATTGAGATAAAACTGTCTGGTGGTTGTGTAATATAGTGAGGTGAAATGATATTTTTAACATTAGACATTAATTGTGGATAGAATTCTAGTTAAGTAAACACATTTATCGTAGTCAAGATAAGAGAAATTTTCCAGTTTGTGCAGGTTTTGCAAAATGCTGATAAGTATATTGTCACATATTTATACTTATCTTGGACTTACATTTAGTAGCAGCTAACAGTAATTGATATTATAAAGGACCTGGATAAATCACGGAAATGAGCTTACACCAATTTGAGTGTAACGATCTTACTCCTTTATAACATTATTTCTTACCAGAATACTATGACAATTATAAATCAGAACATAAAATAATAATGACATTTTCTATGAAACAGCATATTTTGATAAGATATGAACCCTTGACTTAGCTATAGTAACCAACATATTTAACAGAAAACAGAGGCGGTCACAACTCCCAAGAAACACTGGCAGCAAGTATAAGATCGCTAAACTCGGCAAATAATTTGCCACAAAGGACTGAGCGCCAACACTATTTCCTCCTTACTTTTAGTTATGATATCTTTGACTTTACCTCCTAATAAATGTGAACAAGCTTATCATGAGTTATCATTTCGAGTCAAAAAACTTCCCGCGATGGTATAGATCAAAGGGTGCCTGCATCTAAATGAGATGTGAGCGCACTATGATCTTTTGAATTCTAAACGAAGTTTGATACAAATAACATACTGAGAATTGTTGCTGATATGAGGGAATAATTCAGTAATACTGGGCTGTATATAATATCCATTAACAATGTTTCTAAGTATGATGCGGTTACGGGGATGATGTCAATAATGATATAATCGCTAATACAGGCAATATATGTATTTACAACAAGGTACGGCTGAGAAGGCAGAAGAGATCTTGAAAATCTTCACTATCGCCGGTCGAGCAAGGTGCAACGAACCACATCCAGAGGCATATCTTGATTTACATTTTCAGACTATGTTAATAGGCGGCCATAATTTATCATTATGACCGGCAATCTACTACAATAGAATCGGATCAGGCATTTTATTCGTACTTTATGAATTATCAAAACTGCATAAGTGTGTTCCATTGAACGCAAATTCGATTACGATTTATTCATGAGGAGGGCCAGAAGGGGGTGGCACTTGTAGATGACCTCAGCTCAAACGGTATATATCATCTAATTAAGGTAAACAAACCAGCGATAACAACCAAAGATTGGAGATCCTGAGAGAAGCGGGAGAAAGCAAAGGAAACTGGAAAAGAAAGGCGCCATTCAAGCTTCACAAGTTGTCAGGGACTGATTTTGGTTAAGACCGAGTGAACGC